TATATATTTATATTTACTTTTTTTTAACGTTAAATAACTATATTATAGGACTTCTTATATTAATAAAAAAAACCCATTAAAATTACTAAAAGCTACTTTTAAAAATACCTTTAAATAAATATTTATAATATTATTATTTAAAATAAATTTAATAAAGAATTTAATATATAATTAAATAATTATAAAATTAAATAGCTAGTTAATAGTAATATAATCCAGCTGAACTTTCAGCTAAAGCCCTTATAAAAGCATTATTTTAAACTTTTATAAATTTAATAATATAATCTTATTATTAATATATTATTAATAACACTACTATTATTATTTTAACTATTTCTACTGCTATTAACTATAGTTAATTAAGCTACTTTTATAAATAATAATATTCTAAGCCTAAAAAATCTATTAATAAAAATATTATAAAAACTTTATTAAATTAATATAATAATTAAAAAAATCTATTTTTAATTAAGCTTTATAATTTATATAAATATTTATAAAGAAATTAAAATATTAAACTATTAAAAGATTTTATAACTAAGCTATTAGCTTTTAATATACTTAATAATTAAGTTTATAATAAAAGATTAATTTTAAATTTTATTTTAATATATTAAATTATTTAATATAGCTAAAAGAAACTATTTAATAATCTATAATTAAATTAATATATAATCTATTTATTTATAAATTATATTATATAAAATCTATTAATTAAATATAAAAATAATTATTAATAAATATATTTTAAGCTTTTAAGGCCAGGCTTATAAAAAAATAATAATTTTAATTAAACTAACACTTATAGGTTATAAAAACTAAGTTATAGTATAATATAGCTTTTTTTTAAAGTAAATTTAATATACATTATATTTTATTAATCTTCGTAAATAAAAATAGCTTAAAAAAATATTATAAATAACTTTAATTTAATATAGTTTATAATTATTACTTTAGTTAATCTACTACCTAAAGCTAACTATTATATCTTTTAAATAACTTATTTTTATTACCTTTACTTTTTTAAGTCTTTAATTAATAAAAAATTAAAGCTATAAACACTTACTATATAAATTATAATTTATATTAACCCTTTATTATTATAAAGGTAAATAATATAAAAAAATATTACTAACTATATAATAAGCTTAAGGCTATTTTAATACTTAATAAAACAGTTAACTAAATAGTTTAAAAAAATAATATATTTATATTACTTTTAATAATAGTTTATATTAATATTAAATTTTAATAATATATATAATAAAGATTAAATATAATACAGCTGTAGGCCTAATTAATAAAAAAAGCCTTTAGTAAAAAAAATAAAAAAATAATAACTTAACTATTTACTATAATTAACTATAATAATAATATAAGTACTATAAATATAGGTAATTAACTTTAAAGCTATTTAAGCTATAACTACTGTTTTTAATAAAATAATTAATAGTTAATTTTATAGTTTTTTTTACTAAATATTACTTTTATTAATAATTATCTTCTTTAGCTATATAAGCAGCTAAGTTAATAATATTATATTATTTAAATTAAATAATAACAGCATTTAGTTAATAATATTTATAAAATATACAGTAAGTAAAAATTAAAGTAATAGTATTTATAAACTACAAATAAATTTATATTTATTTTACAGTATAATTACATCCGCTAAAGAAAATAAAACTGCTATATAGCTTACTAAAGCCACTAGGTTAGTTTAATAAAGTTAAAGTAAAAGCCTTTTATAAAAATAGGTGGAAATAACCTTAATTGCAATGCCCTAAGGACTTCAATAGGTTGTAATAAGTGTAATATAGCTATTTATATCGGGTCGAATTGCTAGGACTTATATTACAGGCCAATTTTAGCAGGCAGCTAATATACCTTTAATTTCTAACGATTTAATTGGCTATAACCCTTGCAGGGTACATAGGTTGGACCACCTCGCACTCAAAGGGATGCATTGATCGTTTTAGCAACGCGGGGCTCACCCGCCCCACCTGCCTGGTCTCCCCCGCAGTGGGATCCGCCATGGTGCAGATATCAGCTCCATACGACAACAAACTGATTGATAAAGTTGTTCCAAAACGTAAGGAGTATCAATTACTTTTCCCTGTAGGCGGCGAAATGGGTGTCGCCAAATTGGTTAGAGAGCGATTATAGTAAGGATCCATTTTTAGCCACTTTGTAGCCTGACATCCCTGCCAGCTTAGACTACAGTAGAAGGCGAATTAGGTCGCTCGCTTTCCTGGTGTAGTCGACTTTTTTAGCGGAATCCGTTTCCTGATGCTTGTGGCGGTGCACTCCTACCCACCTGTACTTCAAAGTATCGTCGCTGATTATCATAACTAATTGTTATCACATAGCGGCAAGAGCCCACTTTCATGAAATACAGTACATTACATGGTGTCCCCTTTATATGTTGAAATGCTCCACACAGTGTCGGTTGGCGCTCATTCACACTAGGCGCTCAGCAAAAGTAGTCATTAATTCTCCAAGGAAAGTTAAGGACAGGGGCGCAAATACAATGTCGAACTCCACGTTTTACAGCGCTTCCGGTCGGCAGAATCGATGCGGGGCATAGTGCCAGCTGGGACCCTAGGAGCCCACCCGCTTTGAATGGTGATGGCCATCAGAAGCTCGACCAACGCTGTTGCATTAGCCATAAGAAAAGCCTTGCCTGGCCTTGAACGGACGAGTAGTATTGACTAGGCTGACGCCTGCACTCATGCCAAAACTTTGTTCTGTAGCGACTAGACTATGCGCAGCCCAGCCCAACGGATAGCTGCCTTGCTGCCTGTCGCTTGAATCGGCATCGACCCTGTAACCAGCCCCGCGCGGCTCATGGCGATAACTGCACCGCTCCCTCAACCCGAATGCTCGTAACTATCCTGCTACCGACAGCTCGTGTCGTGCAGATCAACAGTTTGAATCATGCGTCTGTTACATCGCAGCGATACGGGAATCCCGAAGTAGAACCCCCGCTGAGGCTTCCCTACCGCAAGCGAAGGCAAAGCTTTTGTTTGCTACTACAGTTAGGGGACAAAAGTCTGCGAACGCCCCACACAACCACCCATACCTCAATTTCAAAACTAGATTTTAAACAGCCATAACTTCTTCAATTATATAGATAAATACAATATATTATTATTATTAAAAAGCTTTAATTCTGCCGTTTAATATTTTATATAATAACCTTTAGCCTAACGTACAGCTGTAAGGCGGCGAGGGAGTGACTTAATTAGCCGGTTAATTAGGTCTTATAGAATTACATCCTATATAATAAGCAGGTATTATTTTATTTCTTTAATTAAGGTTTTATTTCTTTTTAAATCTTAAAGATAAAGGAACAATACTATTAACTTAGCTTTAAAAGCTGCTTAAATATATTTAATTAAGTTAAAATTTAGTAAATATACTGGCTAATTAATATATTTAATTTTATAAATCTACAGCTACTTTAAAGTACTTTTAAAATTATAAATTTTTATATTATTTTACTAGAATTAATATATCTTATTATATATAAAAAGAAAACCTTTTAACAGTGTTTTTTAATAACTTTTAATAGTATATTTATTATATAGTGAATTTCTATTATATTCTATAATAATTAACCTTATTTTACTACCTTTTTAAATCCCTATTTATATTATAAATAAAATTACAGCTTTTTTATAAACTATAATATTAACTATAGCTTTATTAAACTTTTTATAAAACTTATAAAATACCCAGCTATAGCTGTAATTAAGTTAATTTTATATTATAGTTTTATTTAAAAAGATTATTTAAAAGGCCAGTGTAAGTTAAAATTAAAGTTAAACTTTAATTAATTATACTTTTATTAATTTTTTTTTTCTTTTTTAACTTTATATAAAAAATAACTATTAAACTACTATTTCTTTTAATATAGGGATCTTTTATATAAACCTTTATTTACACTTATAGAATTATTTAATTATTTAATGGATAGTTTTTTTATATATTTTACTGCCTATAGTATTAACTAAGGTAATATAGTTAATTTAGCAGTTTTATTTAATTAGTAAATAAATATATTAAACCTTTATTAGTGTAAGCTTAAGCAGCTGGCTTAAATAGGCTTTATTATTGAAGGATTAAGTAGATTACTAATGCTTAAAGATATAGTATACTATTAAAACTAATGTATTAAAATCTTAGGCTACTGACTGATAAAACTTACCGCTGAATATCTCAGCGTATATAACAGCTTTTTGCTTATTATTAAATTAATAGTTACGCTAACGATTAGCGGTTAAAATAGCCTTAAAACTAACGTTTAAAGCCATTTAGTTATTATACAATTGCAATTTAAAGTTAAGGGTGGTAGAGATAATAATTATAGGGTGAGGGGTTAGGCGGTGGGGCGTTTGCAGACTTTTGTCCCCTAACTGTACTAACCACTGATACTGCATAAAGCTGCTCTGGGCATCATTCAGTTTTGTGTCGTTAGTGTTGGGCTCGAAACGTCAATATACTGGGAGATAAAATAACAGTGGAAGCTCCCTGCGGGTTCACTTCTTTAACTGGCTACTAATTGATGTATTTCCCCCTCCACACGACTGCAATGACTGTGACGTGAGATTAATTAGGTGTTGCATTGATGGATACGTGGCTGTACTACGGGCCAAATGCCCAACCTTACCGACGATGACAAAACAGACCGTGACGATTTTCTGGATCGTGTCGCCATAAATCCATTTATACACACAAGCAGAGGCATTGGGTGAGCTCTCACGCCTTTCTACCAAACATACCGAGCCACAATAGTCCAATATTAATGCGTCTTTTAGTATAACTTAGGTCTCCCCAAGTGCAGTCGTGGTTAGGTACCTATGCATGTTAGGCTTGCTGCTGCATATTCACATGTCAGCTGGCTGGAAACTTTATTCCACTCGTGTCACAGGGTTTGGCGTGTCCTTTTAAGACTTTGCCAATCCCCAAGTCTCGGGAGCGAAAAGCAAGCACCATACCACATCCCTTCACCACCCCCAACGTATATACTCTAAGTAATTGATATCCAACCCCTACCACCGTCGTCTAGGTTTGTCTAACCCATGAAAGATACCAGATGCAATGAGTGACGCCTCAACTTACCTCAGCGTGGGTGCTGGTGTTGTGGGCACCGCTGCTACTGTGGCCGGCACTGTGTATAGTTATAAAGCTTACAAGCATTCAAAGAGCTCGAACTCAGGAACTGCTCAGGTAACCATTTGAAATCCACTATCCTAGCCCATTTATTCTAATACGAACTAGGCCGTTCCGCTAGAACGCGTTACAATATCCGATCAACCTTCCCCTCCTCTTGTTGTCCAAAGCGAGGCAGTCCGCAGGGTCCAAACTGGACTCTCATCTGCCAGTTCCGCATCATTCAGTACCGCAAGAACGCGTTGAAGTCTTTGTACTCAGTATTAGGGCAATATATCTGGCAATTGATATCATGGATGGGTGATTATGTGTTGCGAACTCGGAGGAAACTTGCTGCAAGCTGTCGGTCTTAACATATTCAAAGTAGCTTTATAAATGGGATAACAAATTGGCTGGAAGTGTCTTTGGACGAGGCAGGCGGGGATTACAGGTGGACCAGATTCTGTCATTGTTAGGCATTGTTCCTTCACTACCTCTCCGCTACAAGTTGCCTTTATAAAGCCACACAAGCCACAGGACTAGCCTACATTAAAAATTTAACTAAAACCCAGCAACGCCTAATGCGCCTTCTAGTGTTTCTAGTGCACTACTGTAGCTGTTTATTAGATGATTGATTAGTTATTGAAATAAGATGTAATATTATTGGGGATTTAGGAGCCGCTAGCTTTATTCATTGGGTCTGACTGTCTGAACCTATTAACACTGCACAGATACTAGGGGATAGTAGACTATTGCTCTCTCCCAGGTTAAGAGAAATAGCTCTTCGGATAAAATTTGATATGTCTATTGTTCTCTTACACCACAGAAAGAAATTTACACCAAAAGTACAATGATCATAAAAGAAGCCACGACGCCGCAACCATCGCTTAAACAAAAGGTAGTTGGGCAGCATTAGGCAGAAGTAAGTCAGTAAGCAACCCATAATCTTAGCCATGGGTGGACACCACTACACGCATCCATTGATAGCCACCGTTTGTTCGCAACAAGATTGCTCCTTGATGCTGGCGCAGATCCAAATTTGGTTGCACATGACGGCTGGACTCCCTTGCACCTCGCAGCATTTGAGAAAGATGGTGGCGCCGTGAAAACACTTCTTGGCCACGGAGCTGACCCCACGTTGACCACAAAGAAGGGTGATACAGTTCTCCAACTGGCGGTTGGCCAGTTCGGCGTAGGAGTCACCAAGGAGCTGCTGGAACACGGTGCGGAGAAATATATCAATAATCGGGGAGAAACAGACGATACTGCGCTCCACTTGGCCCTGAAGTGCTCAGATTGTGATATTGAGATGTTGCAGCTGCTTATTGATCATGGGGCTGACATTGACTTGCGGTCGGGTGAGGAACTATCCACTTTAGAGCTGGCTGTCAACACACTTGACGTTGAAAAACTCAATTTGCTTCTAAGAACCGAAATCAAATCTCGAGCGGATCCAAAGTGGCAGTTTGATGACTTGATTCAAGCAAAAGAAAAAGCAATAACTTTGTACTGGCAGTATGTTGCGGGCAAACAAACGAAAGAGGCTTCAAAGTGTATCGATATGGTAACAGTCTTATTAGAAAAAGAACTCAAATTACAAGGCACGGAATCAGGCACGGAACCAGACATGAGGATCAGACATGAGGATCACAAATGACCTGCGTATGCAGCTCTTCGAAAGTGGAAGTGAACACAATTAGGAGTCTTTCGATTTCCTCTGGTCAATGAAGTCGGCCTAGACTGCCCATTGCGCCATGTACCAGATCTCAACATCAGACAATAAGCATCACATATTTCGATATTGGAATTGCAGGTTGAGTAATCCGGAAGCCACACGTCGCTGAATGGTAACATTCGAAGTTGCTGAATGCCCTTAAGCTACCCCAGCACTTGAGCCCATGATTAGCTTATTCTTTTGTGCCTGTCAAATAACATTATTCTACCGCCGATCGACGACAGCTTGATAGGTACATGAATATCATATAGTAACGTTCTTTCTATATGTGTCTAAACAAAGAACATTATGTTGCGACACTATTGCACGGGGAAATCGTTTCTTGTTACGAGGTTTGCTCGACCGGCTCTTGCGGGCGAGTAGGCCCAAGTACAGATCGGTCATTAGCTGGATAATACTATAGGAGCCCAGTTCGTCACACGTGGGTTATAACAGTGAGCTGAACAAAAGCCACAAGAGGCTTGTTGGCTAACATCTACTACATACTCTCTACAATGGGTAAGATCTTACCAGCCAGATGCAAGCTGAAGGTACCTATGTAAGCAAAGGAGCTGAATGGGACGATTCTTGCCTTCAAACCCCACTATCATTCAAACAGCTTGTTCGGCGCGCTGACTTGGACGTTGCATTTTAATTTGACGTCTGAATGCGCAGCAATGGCACGGCTCGTATGCACTCAGCCTTCGGGGACCCCAGAGTACGCCGACGGTATTATCCTCATACAATATATGTAGGTAAGATTGATCCTACTTACCAGATGCAAGCTGACGCGCTGACTTGAAAGCCGCATTTTCATTTTTGACCTTTGAATGCGCAGCAATGGCATCACTAAAACTCCAAGCCAAGAAACAATCAATGCGAATGCGTCATGCGGTCACACTATCGTCAGGCTGGGGGACTTCAGACTCGGCTGGGGAGGTATCTTGCCGGAGAATTGCTCAACTCTCGATGTATATATACCGGGCTTGTTTCCGCAGAGGAATGCAGTTTCAGATCATCTCAGACCTATATATTCACATCTTGGTTGCTTTGGTTTCATAAAATATCGAACTGCATTAGCAAGTGCACATCTAAGGAATATCAGTCTTGGCTGGCCTATCCGGATGCTGTAAAGACCAACATGTACATTACACTGTCAAAGGCTGCCCACAAACCATCATCGTTCAACTACGACCTTTGAATTTTCGACCCTAACCCACCGTCGACGCCATCCTTATCTGGTGAGGATGGCCACAACTCTCCTGAAGATGCTCACGCTCGCAAGCGTTTTGGTCTCTGCCGAGACTACCTGGAGCGAAAGCCTTGTCCTCGCCGACTGCGGCATCGGTCTGGGGCCAGATGGTGGATCTACATCACGCGAGATGATGTACTACTCTGCTGAGGCTTGGGGCGCACCAACATACATGAAGAACGTACCGTGGGATGGCTCCTACCCCTGGCGTGGCAGCGGCGTGTCTCAGACCCTTCCCAACGGTGATACATGGACCGTTCTTATTAACAACGGTGCTGGAGATCCAAATTTGGCTGGATGGGCCACTCATACATATGATAATGTTGCTCTTTCATGCTGGAGCCGGCATTTGGATGGGCTCTTCACACTGGCCGACGGCAAAAAGTGCAGCATGGCGTACATCTGCAATCACCAGTCATTTCCAAATCCGCCTCCAAATCCGCCGCCAATTCCTCCTCCAGCTCCGCCTTCAGGCCCGCTGGGCGAGAATGCGACTCCTGGTGCCCTCAAATACCAACCTGTAATCGACTTTGACAAATCAGCCTGCTACAACACCGCAGCCATCACCCGTGACGGGCATTGCAATGATGGTCTCGAAATCGGCCAAGGTGATTGCCGCCAATTGGATCGCCTGTACAACAGCAACACATACGTACGCGAAAAGTGCACAAACGATGGCTGGTGCTTCTACCTATATGGTTACTACTTCGAAAAGGATGAAGGAGGCGCTCTGGCGCACGGCCACAAGCACGACTGGGAGCATCTGGCCGTCTGGACGCTTAACAACGAGGCGAAGTACCTTGGCTGGTCGGCTCATGGAAACTATAAAGTCAACAAGCCCAACTCGGTCGAGTGGCAGGGGAATAATCCCAAGTTTGTGGTGGAACGCGACATGGCTACCACCCACGCGTTCCGCAGGGCAGAAGGAAACGAGCCGCCCGAAAATGCATCGGGAAAATGGTATTGTAGTCCGTTGGTCAGTTTAGAGAGGATGGATGGAGCACTTAAGGAGAAGATGTTGACTCACGACTGGGGCAACGCTCATCCTGATCTGACTGATGAGCGATTTGATAAGGCTTACTGGTCTACTTGGGCGGATGCGAAGGCTCTCGACCAGGCTGGACCACCCCGACCAGATCCTGTCCCACCGCCTCATCTAGAGTTGTAAGTGTAATGTAGGAGATACTAGGGGGGCCTCAAAAACGACCACAAATCCCCTAAGCTGCTACGTTACCCTAGGGGGGTCACTGACTAGCGAAGGGACCCTTAATTTGCAAAATGTTAGGTACAAAGGCAATGGTGCTGTTCAAATTGAGAAGGGATTTGACAAGGATGCATATATATATATATATATATATATATATATATATACTCACGTACATGAAGAGATTTGGAGAATCTTACTACTTGCCGATGGATACGTTGCACCAGTTTATTTATGTTCCCTGTAGGAAATTGATGAAAATGATCTATGCTGCATTTTCAAGCACCGATCTGGTTCTCTTAGTAATCATTAAATTATATGTAGATACTTCCTCGCATAATGTTCAGGCGTATATCAAAACAATGGCGTAGGAGCATCTAAATGTGGCAAGATTTGAACGAAATAGTTTATATATTACATATCCATATCGATATCAAGGCCGGTGAACAAATTCAACTAGTCCTATTTTGTATCCATCGATGCAATGTCATACTCATGGTATGCTCCGCTTGGATAGTTCAATAGCCACGTCCTGACGGTCGCGAGCAGGCAAGTGAAATCATCTTCAGTCTTGCGTAGCTATTATAACAGCTAAATGTATTATCCGAATCTTAGAACTTGGAATTTCCTTCCTCATTCAGTTACCTGAGCTCACGCTGCTTTAACATGAGTAGCCCCTGAGCATAACCTGAGTTGTCCCTGAGTCGGCCGGCTGTTTAACTTTAAGTGGGGCTTTATTTTCCACACCCCTTCCCATCATTTACAAAACATACTATAGATAGGGTATTTTCGGCTTACCGAATGCTGACAAATAGAATACGTAAGTTACATTTTGCTGCTATAAGCTCGTTTTGGATTGGGTAAGCAGGGAGGTCCCGGGAGACCTACTCGGTAATATAGAGTTAGGCTATCTATCTCTTGGGTGGCCGCCACTATGTAACCGCGCTTAGAAGAGACGCTCATTTACAAATGTATTCCTGCAGAGACAATGTTACAGCTAGCCTCGGCTTTTATGGCTCCGATAGAGTCCGATCCCTTCTATAGTATTCGTATATGTTATGGTTATTAGAATATCGTTCTTGATTAATCCAGTCAGGACTAAAACATTTATTTGCCCGCCTATGTAGCCATTACCATATTCCAAAGGCTGTGTATTATTTTTATCAGTTGGGTCTTAGTATTTGAGAAGTTACGGATGTTTCGATATCTACTACGTTAGCATAATTGCGATAATGGTGAATTCCTGAGAGGAGAAATTCATAAATCTGGATCTTCTTGAGTGGATAGCAGGATATAGCCTGCCACTTTAGAGAAATGCGTTAGACGAGGAACCAAGATCAACCAGACAACTAGCTGAGGATATTCCAGTGAATAGTGCTAATATATTTAGTCCCTTTTATTGCATTTATCTAGATAATATTCTTTAATATAAATCTGTATAGAGCCTAAATTTAATATCAAGATGAGTGGTTCAATGCTTATATAAACCTATATAAGTTTGTTTATTAAGGAGAGTTGAGAGCTATTTTTTACTCTTAGGGAAATTCTAGGATAACATCGGAAGGAACTACTAAGAAGAGAATCTCTCCAGCACTGACTTTATATTAGCGATTTGTAGCGGCGTTTCTTATGTTCTTTAGCTTAACTTAAACATATATACAGCAGCAGGCGAAATGGGTGTTGCGGGTGGGTTAGATAAACATGAGGAGAAGACCTACTTTTAGTTAACGGGTGGCTTGACATTCTGTCAGCTTGTACCACCGAGGTACTCTTACAAGTTGCAAAATTACAGAACTAAAAGGAGGAAAAATTCACTTTATGCGCTGTTAAAATATATGAACGTAGAGAGGGCCATTTGGTGAAAATGCATTTATGTTAACAACAATGCGTAACTGTCCAAAAGGTATAATAAGACGACTTCGTCAAAAGCATTAGTAAAGAGGCTCGCACACCGTTCAGGTCCTTGGTGCCTTAAAGGCGCCCTTTTGGCCGCCTTATCCTTGAAGACGTGGCCCAAACCATACCTTGCGTCGCCGTGCATGCAGATGTCAGGTGAGGAACTTGGCCACCACGACTAGTGCTCATAAAGCCTCAGACTCTCCCTTTATCTTCTGTCTCAAGAGTAGCATTTACCCCACAGATTTCCTACCTAGCTAGTCAAAGATTACTCCCACATACGCACACGTTCCACACCACGCGATCGACAAAGACGATTTACTTCGCCTTGCAGCTATTATTTCTGCAATCATGGCAAGTTTTTGAATACATATGCATTCGATTTAAACATGGCTAAAACATTTGCAGGCTACCACAGAGGCGTATTTTGGGAATAGCCCTGCCAGCGAGTTCAAGAATCTCAACACCGTCCATTTTATAGACAAAGAGGCATTTATCAAGATCAATCATGGCCTTGACGAAACGGATTCCTGGTTTAGAGAATGGAGTGAGCCTGTGAAAGTGGCCAACGCCCTCTTCAGAAAGGGAGTCTTCAATGAGCAGCGCCCAAGGTGGACCGAGGCTGGCTGTCTCTTCATCGCTCTTTGCATTCATCGCACCAATTTGGAGCAGAACCTTGGTAAACCCTTCGGCAATGAGTCGGTTAATGGAGCACTTCAACGACCCGTCCGATCACCTAAGCTTTGCTAGACGTTGCTTCAACTCCGGCTTACCGGCGTTCGAATTCCACATAAAGTCTGGATGGGTTGCCAATTGGATCTCGGGATATGCATCTCACAGGCCAAGCTGATGGAGACAAGCGCGCTTAAGTTTTATAAGGAAAAGAAAGGTGAGGGATTTAATGGCAAAGCTGTCAATGATTTGCCAAAGATCGAAAGTGTTGGTTTGATGGCTTCTGTGCAAAAATATAAATCTTAGAGAGGCTTTTTGTTTGTGCTAGAAATGATTAAGTGTCTTGTGCTAAATGCCTTCGTAGGCATCAATGCGTGCGGTTCTAGATCCCCGTTGGTTGATAAAGTGCAATACATTTAGCTGTTATGGACACTGGATATATAAGTCCAATTCTCTATGCTCTTTGGATAGTTTTAGATAGCCGGTCGTTAACAAAGTATTAAGACTGAGGTAACTAATATATCATTATCCTGTAATATATTCGTATCGTAATTAACCTCGTCTATTAGTAAGCAGCTTTCACAGTCCAATGAGCAGATGGGAGGTATGATTGGCTCCAGTCTCAGGACTGCTTTTAACTCACTTACGCACAATTTTGGCCTGTGATAATTTAACCATGCCTGTTACAGCATATATTTTTTTAACGTATCTAGTAATATTTCGCTTGCGCGCAATTTGAGCCTACGATAATTTAACCACGCCTTATTATACGGCGCAACCAGCACAGAATTATAGCTGGTTTGCTTGCGCGTAATTTGAGCCTACGATAATTTAACCAACGTCTCATACGGCAGAATTATTTAAGCCTCTATACTACTAAGTCCGCCAATAAGCCAGCCATTTAAGTTAACCCTATAATAGGCTTAATATATACCTACGTGATAAGTAAATGCGCCCACTAAGGGGTTTAATGTACAGCTATTAAATAGGTGAACTATTCTGCGTACTTTAATAAATCAGGAAGTACATGTCACTGTACTTAGTATACTAACATCCTGACCGGCTTCGTCCTAAAAAACTCTACTCTCTATCGGTTTGGTTAATACGTTTCATTGGCTCCTGTTTTGTAAAGTTTCTCTCCGCACGGACCAATGTTGTGGAACTGTGGCTAGTACAGTGCGAGCTTCATCTCATCGCTATGTACCGTTTCAGGACAGTCTTAATAGTTCTGTTCGTTTTTGGATAAAGTGCCATTTCCGGCTCCCGAGGTCTTTACCCTCGGCACGCCTATATATTTCCAAACTTTCACGCTTTTTTTTTTTTTTCTTATCCGTTACTCTAAACAAGGATACCAGCATGTAGTTGGTATAAACAATTATCCTTTATTCAAGTCGTCCTTGGTCGAGCCGTAGTCGCCCGACCGATCGAGCCCAGTCGAACCAACTTCCGATCGACTATCCCGTAATTAGTCCATTGCATTACATAAGCTATCATCACGTGCGACCTTCCTTGGCGGCCATATGCCTGACAGGCGGTGACCAGAAGAACAGGGACCGCAAAATGAAGTGCATACATGGAGATAATAAGAGCACTATTGCGAGGCGTGTAGCGCAGTCGATATATGCGGACTGTGTATTTCTGTATGCTGATCATTTCTCAATTCCCTGTTTTTCTGGTCACCGGTTGACTGAGTCGTGAAAATATAGAACAGAACTGATTTCATTCTTAACTAGCTCTAATCTATAGAAAACCGCATTATTAATACCCGACCTGACATACACCCAATGGTAACTGTAGCTCCAAACACAGCTGATGCATTTGGTCGATACTCTGGAGGTAACCAAATCAGAGGCTTATTATCTTTCGTAATCCATGTTTCATCAGAGCTTATGCCATAGTAATGAAAGCCCGTATCTCGTGATAATACTTCGGGTGGTGTCTTTATAATAGACGCGTCAATTTTTTGGACTCCAAGGTCAGTAATGAGATGTGAGTCATCTGTTGCGTCGAATGCTATGAATCCAATGGACTGGCTATTATGAAAAGTCTGAAGACAATTGCCTGAGTTTGTATCCCAGACCCTAAATGTATTATCAGATGAACCTGAGGCGAGGCTGGCGAGCCGCTGGCCATTAGGTGAGAAGACAACTGAGAATACCGAGTCATTATGACCCTCAAGGGTCTGCAGACAGGCGCTTAAGTTTGCATCCCAGACCCTAATTGTATTATCAGATGAACCTGAGGCAAGCCGCTGGCCATCAGGTGAGAATATAACTGAGTTTACCTGGTCATTATGGCCCTCAAGGGTCTGCAGATAAGCGCCTGAGTTTACATCCCATACTCTGACTGTGTTATCGTTTGATCCTGAGGCGAGCCGCTGGCCATTGGGTGAGAAGGCCACTGAGTATACTGAGCTAGTATGGCCCTCAAGGGTCTGCAGACAGGCGCCCGAGTTTGCATCCCAGACCCTAACTGTGCTATCATATGAACCTGAGGCAAGCCGCTGGCCATCAGGTGAGAAGACAACCGAGTTTACACAGTTATTATGGCCCTCAAGGGTCTGCAGACAGGTGCCCGAGTTTGCATCCCATACTCTAACTGTCTTATCGTCTGAGCCTGAGGCGAGCCGCTGGCCATCAGGTGAGAATATAACTGAGTTTACCTGGTCATTATGGCCCTCAAGGGTCTGCAGACAGGCGCCTGAGTTTACATCCCAGACTTTAATTGTTCCATTGGATGAACCTGAGGCGAGCCGCTGGCCATTAGGCGAGAAGACAACTAACAATACCCAGTCATTATGGCTCTCCAGAGTCTGAAGATAGGCGCCTAAGTTTGCATCCCAGACCCTGATTGTATTATCAGATGAACCTGAGGCGAGCCACTGGCTATTAGGTGAGAAGATAACTGAGTTTACTGGGCTATTATGGCCCTTAAGAGTCTGCAGACAAGCGCCTGAGTTTGCATCCCAGACCCTGACTTTTGCGTCGGCTGAACCTGAGGCGAGCTGCTGGCCGTTGGGCGAGAAGACAACTGACGATACCGAGCAATCATAGCCCTCAAGGGTCTGTAAACAGGCGCCTGAGTTTGCATCCCAGACCCTAATTATACCATCATCAAGTGAACCTGAGGCGAGCCGCTGGCCATCAGGCGAGAAGATAACCGACAATACCCGGTCATTATGGCCCTCAAGGGTCTGCAGACAGGCGCCCGAATTTGCATCCCAGACTTTAATTGTCTCATCATATGAACCTGAGGCAAGCCACTGGCCATTAGGCGAGAAGATAACTGAAAATACCCCGTCATTATGGCCCTCAAGGGTCTGTAGACGGGCGCCTGAGTTTGCATCCCAGACCCTGATTGTATTATCAGATGAACCTGAGGCGAGCCGCTGGCTATCAGGTGAGAAGACAACCGAGTTTACACAGTTATTATGGCCCTCAAGGTTCTGCAGACAGGCATCCCAGCCTGCTTCTACAGCTGGCTTTAATAGCATCCATAACGGCTCTTCATCCTTGAATATTATCCGTATTTTACTCCGCAGAGGGCTAAAGATAAGTGCAGACACATATACTTAGAGTGGTGAATATTCAATCACCCATTTGTTCCGAAGAATAAATCGTCTGGCATCATGTACGAAGCTGGATATTTGGCTCTAAGGCGTTTGCTCCTGCTCTAGTTAATATACGTGTACACTCAATTTAATGAAGTGGAAACCAACTTCAAGTAGGTCTGTAAGCCTTACTATTGCAAGAATACCTTCTGACATACATCGTAAAAGACTTAGCGCCTCTAGCCAATGGAGAAAATAATGGCGCAAGAACATATCAACTAAGCCTCCCTCTTAGAAAGCACTCTCCATACAACCGCCAATATTGTAGTCGCAGAGATAGTCAATCCAGTAGATACATAAGTACCGTACCGCGATCAGGGGATCTGGATTATATTGTTGGAGTTGGCTGATAGGATATCCGGGAGCTCCTAAGCAGTAGATGTCACGTCGTAACGTGGCATTCATAGATTAAAGTGATTGAGAAAAGATAGTATAATAAATATCGTTTGCACGAGAAGTAGAGATAGTAGACCAGGCTTTATCTGTAGTCAAATAATCTTTTGCCAATTAATAGATAAAGTAAATTGTATTACCACAAATAGCAAGAAAAGAGCCGCAGAGACATATTATTTCTGCAAATAACAAGATATCTTTTAAAAACTCCTTAGGACTTCCAATAAGAAAGTGAAGTTCGTATAAGGTAACTGGCCGGTAGACAGTCAATATAATAGTAAGGACCTGCTTGCAGAAAGAGATATTCTTATCGTTCTTTAGTTTAAAAATCTAATCTAACATCCGCTCATAAAGAGAATTAAGACCAAGTAGGTAAGTTTCTAGCTCCTCGAGTACATTCCAACTTTAAACATCTTCAAGATTCTAACAGACTAGGGCCACCCAAAGAAATATATTATAGGCTTTAGAAATTAAATAGCGTTCGGTCTCTTCTCATATTTCATCATCATAGCTATTCTCTTCCGCTAAAAGAGTTACCTTATAACGGATATAAGTTTAAACAGCGGCGGAGATAGAATTCTCATTTAGCTCGAGGCATAAACCAATCTTCTGCTTAGCGCTTTTAAGTTTGTTCTCAATGTCAGGCCAGTTGCAACTTAACACAATCCATTTAGCAGAGGAAAAGGAGGAGATCTCCCTAACCAGGGTAAAAAGGCTTAGAAGTTCTTCTGTACACTCATCAAAAGCGTCAATGATTAAGACGGCATCTTTAAAATCAGGATCATCAAAAATCGCTTTAAGTATCTTAGATAGAGCTGTCCAGGCATTACTATCTTCAAACAGCTGTTTACCTACATAATCGTACTTATCTCATACATAAGAGATAAGCGATGGCTGCTAAACAATAAGGCTATAGATGAGCCCCCGCAGCACAGCTGTTGCACTTCTTAATCTTACCTCAGTCGCCTAGCAAAAGAAGTATAATAGGCGATATGCTTTAAGCTCCTCTAGCTCATCAATAATACCGCACAGCAGCATAGTCTTTCCCTTACCAAAGTCCCCTTTAATCCAGAGTAGCCAACACTGCAGATCGTTGCACCACATCTAGAAGTCGGCATAGTCTAGGATCCAGCAGTATGAGTCCCTAAGTAGGCTGCCTTTGGTTTACTCAATGCGCGTTTTATCATCGCGGGGATCGGTGATTCGTAAATCTGCTAGGCAAGGGTCTACCAAAGGGGGCGCGTAGTTGTAGATATCACCTTAATGGATCCTGGCATTATCGCCAAATTCGTTATTGGTAACATCGCGGATGTGTGACGCCATTGAATTTATTAGATTTAAGGGCTTCTAAAGGAATAATATTAAATCCTTAATAGTCGTGATGAGGGATGAGACATTTAAGAAATATATGACGTTAGGAGCTAGCTTAACCCCTCACTTTATAAAGATATTATTGACCAATTAACCGCCTTGATATCCCACCAAATTTTCATTATGAAGGGATACGTTTAATTGATTATTTTATTTTGCATGTACCAGAAGCAAGATTTGACTACACGGTAATAATGGATAGCTTTGACTAGAATCATCAAGGTAAAACAGCCTAATTGCACTTGCTTTGCCTGGCTGTGTTAGCGTGTGTCGCGGCCCGTCCCTAGTTTCAGATATAATCCGCTTCTAATATGATGGACTGAGTTTTAAGACGTTGACATATTCCTTGAGGGCGGCGTCTAATTGCCAGGCTGGTCTTATAGTAATTGTACCCTGTCTCGATAAATATTGGACTGCTAAATGAGCTGCTTACGTACATTCATTCATATAATGGGTGATAGTACGGTATTTCGACCAATACATGAGACCCACCTTTTCGTTGGTGCGGGGGCAGCGCTATTTGATCGATTTTTCTATATTTTTCCGACCATCGTGCGGTCACTGTAGCTAGATGCCTGCTTAAACTATTATCAGCGGGCAAGTTTCGTCGAATCATACTATTAATTAGGTTATGATGTAACGCGGCAGGTAACAGAGGAAGTATCTGTCGGTAATAAAAACAGCCTGTTATGGAGGTTCGGTGGGGAGAGAAACTTACGTTAATAAAGCGGACACTCATTTCGGTTGCTACTGTAGCCTGCTGACAAAGGAAAGTACTGGTAGCAGAAGGTCGCACTGTCGTGATGGGGCTGTGGGGCTAGCGTGTTTTCTATCTACCTCTGGATACTTGATAGTACCTCGAACGCTATGGTGCTCACTAATGATCCTTATTGCATCACATTAATTTAGTCCCATTTTGGACATTAGCAAAATTACAGGTACTTTTAGGTAATCTCAAGTATCTCCGCAAACCATATTTTATAGAGTAGTACACCGGAAGCAACATTTGCACAGAACAATGTACAGTCCTTGCCATTAAAGGTGTCGCAGCTGTCCAATATTAGTATTTCTGCGCACGGACCATATGTGTGGCGCACTGTGGCTTGTCACCGTGCGAGGGTACGTACCTCGAACTGGAGAGGCTTAACAAAAGCCAGAAACGGCTCGAGGGGCGCCAGGCAGTAAGGCAACACTTTCAATGTCAAACCTGGCCCCCAGATTCCCAAACGGCAACTTTCTGCTTGCTGTCCATTTTCTGGCAAAGCCACAACAGGCTCTACCTCATCGCGACCATGACATCACGCCTCAGTCTCTCCCAATACAATCAGATCGATGCCATGATCAAAAGTGGCTTGTTGACTAACGAGATAGTTAAATCTGTTCGCTGCTGTGACCGCCGTACAGTTCAACGACGACGATTGAAGCTACAAGGCCTTCCACCGAAGGAAGCGTCAGCGACCCCATCAAACCCTTTGATCCGTGTCGGCCGAAGTAGTTACATTACACCATACATGCAAGAGATACTACGTAAGAAGCTGCTATTGCAGCCAGATATGTTCCAATGTGAAATGACCGCGTTCCTATATGACAAGACCGGAATAGAGGTGTCGCTCTCTACCATGAGTCGGACCCTTAGGGCCATGGGGTGGTCCCGGAAAACCTGTCGTCGTATAGCGCAGCAACAAGATAAACAGCTGCGAAATTTCTATTTACGTAAGGTTTCACAATATGACGCCAAACAGCTGGTCTTTATTGATGAGTCCGGCTGTGATAAGAAGGCTGGGCAACGGCGTATGGGTTGGTCCCCGCGAGGGTCAACTCCTGTGAAGGTAAACGAACTGAACCGTGACACGAGATATCAGATTCTTCCGGCGTATACTATGGAGGGCATCCTCTTAGCCCGTGTGTATACGGGATCAACAGATGCTGAATGGTTTGAGGACTTTATTAAGCAGCTATTACACCACTGTGGCAAGTGGCCAGAGCCTAACTCTGTCCTCGTCATGGATAATGCTTCATGGCATAATCAGGAAAGACTGCAACAGTTATGCGCAGATGCAGGGGTAAAGTTACTCTTTCTACCGCCCTACTCGCCAGATTTTAATCCTATTGAAGAATTTTTCTCAGAACTAAAGGCATACATCAAAAGGCACTGGAATCAACATTTAGGTCTTATTAAAGGAGACTTCAGAGCGTTCTTAAAAATGTGTGTTAGGATTGTTGGCTCCCGACGATCAAGCGCTAGAGGTCATTTCCGCCATGCTGGATTATCTGTGGAGGAACCTCACGAATAAACAGTCCATACATCATAAAATAGCCTATATATAAAGAAAGAAGAAAGAAAGTACACGTACGCTATTATATAGTCCCGTTATTCACCTTATCCACCCACTTCTTGACATCACGAACCCAGGATTCCGCAATACCCGGCAAAATACCCGCATTGACAAAAATTTCAACACATTGTTGCTGGCACATGTACATATACTTGAGATCGAGCCCTTGTTGAAATGTGAACGCGACTGCCTTTCGAATGCTCGCTTTCCAGATATCACTGCTAACCCGAGCACAGTGAAATATACCATACAGTTCTATTGCGTCATCTCTCGGTTCAGGAATGTCCCACTCATCCACGTCAATGTCCTTTGGTGGCCCTGTAAGGGCTACGGCTGACGCTTGATTGGAGGGACCAGGTAAGACATTGGTAATGTGGATCGGATAGCTATCTATAAACGAGTCTCTTCGTTTTCGTTTCTTGCTGCTTTCCTTCCGTTGCTCATTAAGGCGGTCCTTTTTGTAAATCATGTCACGGATGAATTGTGGCACATCCTTCTGGTCCTCAAACTTGTTACCTTCTTCGGAATACGTGACCAGCTCTTGCATAATGTCGCCGTCTGCAGGAAAATGCTTGTTACCTCGCTCCGGATCACGAAAGCACTGCGTTCCGGAGCATGGGGGACCATCGCATTGCATAATAGCATAAACTTTGGACCAATGATTGGGCCGGCCAGCAGCCTCATCTTCTGCTTGCTCAGCTTCTAGTTCTGCGTGTTGTCTTCCCGTGGCTCCTCCTCTTCGTCGGGTACTTGAGCGGGTGCTCGTTGATGCCGATGGAACCGAAGGCTTATAAACAAATACTACCTTTATATGCAATTTCCTCCCTCCACGGAACAGAGGGCTCCAAATTTGCAGCTGCTTCTCGACCTCCTTCCAGTTTATATCAAAATCGGGGTAAGATTTCGAAAAATTAGTTTCGGCTCGGTCCGAGACAGATATGACGAAGTTAGCCTCTTCAGGTTCGTAGCATTTAGTGGCTGGGGTCTTCTTCTTGAGGCGGTCCTCAAGCTTTTTCTTCCAAGACTTGTCCCAGTACGCACCAGGCGCCAGCACAAGATCTTGCTCGAGTTCTGGATTGTACATGAGCTTCATTAGCCTTTTTCCTGTATTTAAGCGTAAATCCCACTCGATAGAGTAATGGATGCATGTAGGTGGAAATTCATCATATAGCAGGTCTTCGTCCCAGTCGCTCAACTGGAGCAGCGGAAGTGATGGACTATGAGATCGCTGCTGACTCTGGCCAATCGGGCTCGCACTGCTACTCTCAAGCCTAGGGGTCTGAAAATCAAGCTCGACATCATAATATAAGGCTGGATCGTAGTATGCATCCTCCATGGTGGCGTGCCTATCAAAGGAGGCAAGAGGCAAATGCGACTCGAATCATCCCAGGAACGCCAGCCAGGACGCCAGCGGCCCTAAGCAAACACAATGTACCTTAGTGTTCCATAGTATTCCATGTCATTCTATAGAAGCTCGTGCCGACCATTTTTCCGCACAAAGGAAGGGTGGCTCCAGTCACGTGCGAAACGCTCTGTAGTTTCACTTCATTCGCTAAAAAAAAAAAACATTAGCACGGTAAAGTTAAAAGATACAAAGCCGCGACTAACAGCCCATTTCATCTGAGCCCGCACTTACACTTCAAAATCAAGACGCACATCGGTAGAACCGGTAAAGTTCCATTTACGAGTTCCATCTCATTCTACAGCATTACAGAAGAAGAGGACAAGCTTAGCGCGATCATTTGAGTATCACAAACATCATGAACTAGTCTATTTTTGGACTTGTGTAGCTGTGTGCTAGTGTGTGGGTAATGCACATGCTTGTCAGCCTAAGCAATCAAATGATGCCTTAGAAATGAGGTTTAAGAAATCTCGTTGTCTGGGCTTCCACAAAGTGCACCCACCTTTGTGGATCGCATCATCTTATTGATACTATGTAATATATGAAATCAAGGGGTAAAAGAACGCTAGGAACGGGCCGTTCTATATCGGAGTTGTATCTCCCCACTAACAAGCTGATCATCCGCTCCATAGCTTTTTACTACGCATTAGTCACTCTTGTGCCTCTTTTCTCGTCGATGTTCTACTTAGGCCTTACTCTAGCCATCATTGGTTGCGCTAATTTCAGCCACACGAAGCAGCCTGGCGCCTTATTGCTTTCTCCCACTTCTCGTAGTTTCTTCTCACCCCCTTTTCTCGTCGATTATCATCCCATTCTCTACCTGCTTAACATGCCATAGGCGCCGCATTGACTGATAGCGGAGTCCGCGAACACAAGTAAGATTACGAAAGGTCCATAATTTAGACATTACAGGATGCCAGCCACGAAACGCCGGAAGATGAGCCACCATCCGCCCCACGAGGACGTGGCAACGCCGAACGCTGTCGATGCATTTCGGAATTCATCCAACACCCAAGCACCTGTAACTGCTACCTCTCGATTACGAAGCGACTCTACTCAGGCGGTTACTAGGCAAAAGAACCTTGTTTTTCGCGTTACTGGCCTCCTCGCCTCGCAGACGAACGATGCGCTGGTGGATTTTATCCGCAAAGACCTGTTAAAGGGTGAAGAACAGTCACAGTTAAAAGTCACCGCAAGCATCGTGCCATCTTGCTCCAACAATGGGCAGGAGAGGGTTGCGTTAGTAGAGTTTGGCGGTAGAGTTCCTGATTTCTTGTCCGCGCTAGTTGCGAACCCTCTGGAAGACTGGCAGGTTGAGATGGGTAATGTGGATATTAATTTTGACCAACATTTTTTTGGGTTTACACAGCTCTACACCCCCAAAGCAGACAAGCCAGTTACCGCAGAGTATGTAACATTTCGTTGATGGTGCAACCTGCTCTTGTTGTTCCTGTGCGCAGCCCTAATGCTAATCCACTGGGTCGCAGTATAATCGCTATCACCGGTCTCGATGGACATGCATATGGCTCATGGAGGGGTAAGGGAAACCTTGGGCGGATGTGGTTGCGCCATTTTCTGTCTCAAGACCTGCCCTACTGTCGCACGATGACCTATGGCTACAACTCGAAGCTCTCAACCCGTGGGATCGACACCATTATGGACTATAGCCGGGGGCTAATGGAGGCACTCAAGAAAATCAGGAACACAGAGGAGGTAAGCTCTATTATAACATGCTGTCACAAGAGCACAAATATGAGGCTAATAATTGCACCGCTCTAGCTAAGGCAGCGACCACTCTTCTTCATCGCGCATAGCTTTGGCGGTATTATACTTGCTCACGTAGGTTATCCGTTGTAACTCACATGTAAAAAGCTTAATAGCAGTATAGTGCCTTGTAAAGGCGGTCCAAACGAACGAAGACGATCATCCCACGATTGCAACGCTCCACAAGGCTACATACGGGATGCTTCTCTTTGGGATTCCACATAAGGGGCTAGTGGTAAATGATATCGAAAAGATGCTGGCTAGTCAAGATAACCACCCGCGGAGCGCGCTGCTTCAGCAGATCAGAGTCAAGTCCGACTTGCTAGAGAATCAGCTGGCCGATTTCAAGAATCTGGTCCGAGACCGGAAGATTGTAAGCTTCTACGAAACAGGGCAGACTAGGCAGCTTCAATTTGTAAGATAATATGGTATACATAGCACCTTGGAGATGGCTGACACTAGTAATAGGACAGCGACAGCCAACGCTGGGAAAGAACTGGTGACTTCATTACCAAGGTGGACAACGACTCGGCTCTTCTTCAACTCCCAGACTTTATGGAGGACAAGATCCCCCTAGACTCGGATCATTCAATGATGGTGAAGTTTGGTAATAGAAATGATATAGGGTACACCAGTGCGCTGCATAAGCTTCAACAGTTTGAGCAGGAGGCTTCTAACGTGGTGAAGGCTCGCTTTTGTAAGTAGCTTAAGTGCTTCTCGCCGGTTCTATGTAAATCGAAGAAGGTCTTTATTCAATCATCCTTGTGCTTGATTTTAGCTAATACCAACTTGTAGCGCGAGTCCAACGGACTTCGACCGTGAAGTGTAGGTTTGGCCGCCCTCAGCAATATCTACGAGCTACTAACCAAAAGTCTAGATTTTGTGCCCTACACAAGTAATCCAGACTTTGTAGGACGCTCAGAAATCCTTAAAATATTAAAGGACCAGCTGGGGCATACGCAACAGGCGAGTAGCACATCTCAAGCAAGAGCATCATTGTATGGCTTAGGCGGGACTGGGTACGTTATCACAAACCCTCTGGTTTATATCGTATGCTAACAGGGGATAGTAAAACGCAAATCGCATTGGAATATGTATTCCAGCTACAAAAGACACACCCTACGGTTTCCGTTTTCTGGATTCATGCTAGTAGTGCCGCCCGATTTCGCCAAGCGTTCGCATCTATCGCACAAGAGTACGACATCCCTGGCCACGCAGAACCTAAGGCTGATATGCCACTATTATTGAAAGGTTGGCTGGAGGAGAAGGACCACGGAGAGTGGCTCATGGTCATTGACAACGCAGATGACATGCAGCTTTTCTCTGGCCAGCCTGCAGATACTGCTACAAGCCCCAGCAAGGCGAAAGATGAGAAGAATCTGGCTCGATACTTGCCCGAATGTGCCCACGGTACAATTCTCATCACGACCAGGAACAAGCAGGTGGGAGTTAGGATGACCAAAGGACAGCAGCCGATAGAAGTGCTTCGAATGAATGAGGAGGAGTCAGCACAACTCCTCCGTGCGAAGCTCAAAGACATCAGCACAACCATTACTGAATTGTCAACGCTTTCTTCTCAATTAGAACACCTGCCGCTAGCGTTAGCTCAGGCTGCTGCGTTCATTCAAGAAACGAGCATAACAGTGCACAAGTACCTTCAACTACTAAGCAATAGCGACAAGAACATCGTGCACCTGCTGAGCAGGGAATTCGAGACAGTGGGGCGAGACACAGAAGCTCCCCAGGCAGTGGCGCAAACATGGATGCTTTCGTTCCAGCTGATCGAGCGGCAGCAAGTCTTAGCCAGCGAACTCCTCTCCTTCATGAGTATGCTCGATCGACAAGATATCCCGACTCAGTTTATATCGCATTATGCCGAGCGAGCAGGGAACGGGGTCCCGCGAGGCGAAATAGAGCTTACAGAAGCGCTGGGTATCCTCAAGGCCTTCTCGTTCGTGACGGAGGAGATTAGTGGCAGCTTCGATATGCATCGGCTCGTACAGTTGGTGACGCGCAAGTGGCTTACGAGCCGGGGCACGAGTGGTCGATTCGGCACGGAAGCACTGATGACGGTGTCGGAAATGTATCCGTTTGGCAAATACGAAACCCGAACAAAATGTGCCGCATACCTATCACATGCAAACGCTGTGCTACAATTAGATGGGTCGAAATCAAGAGATGAGAACGAAGCAAAGGCATCTCTTCTCCACCGTATTGCTGGATACTTTTACTTTGAGGGCAAATGGAGTCATGCAGAGATGTTCAATATAGAGGCAGGAGAGATACGAAGAGACTTATTAGGACATGATCATCCACATACACTGACCAGCATGGCCAACCTTGCATCAACATACAGGGACCAGGGCCGATGGAAGGAGGCCGAGGATCTAGAAGTACAAGTGATAGAGATAAGCAAGACGAAGCTGGGCGCAGATCATCCAGATACACTGACCAGCATAGGCAACCTTGCATTAACATTTTGGAACCAGGGCCGATGGAAGGAGGCCGAGGATCTAAATATGCAAGTGATGGAGACTCGCAAGACGAAGCTGGGTGCAGATCATCCAGATACACTGACCAGCATGGCCAACCTTGCATCAACATACAGGGACCAGGGCCGATGGAAGGAGGCCGAGGATCTAGAAGTACAAGTGATAGAGATAAGCAAGACGAAGCTGGGCGCAGATCATCCAGATACACTGACCAGCATGGCTAACCTTGCATCAACATTTTGGAACCAGGGCCGATGGAAGGAGGCCGAGGATCTAAATATGCAAGTGATAGAGATAAGCAAGACGAAGCTGGGCGCAGATCATCCACATACACTGGCCAGCATGGCCAACCTTGCATTAACATATGGGAACCAGGGCCGATGGAAGGAGGCCGAGGATCTAAATATGCAAGTGATAGAGATAAGCAAGACGAAGCTGGGCGCAGATCATCCACATACACTGGCCAGCATGGCCAACATTGCATCAACATTTTGGAACCAGGGCCGATGGAAGGAGGCCGAGGATCTAGAAGTACAAGTGATGGAGACTCGCAAGACGAAGCTGGGTGCAGATCATCCAGATACACTAACCAGCATAAACAATCTGGCTATCACTTGGAAAAGCCAAGGTCGACATAATGATGCCCTAGCTTTGATGAAGACCTGTGCTCAAACTCGACATCATGTCCTAGGTCCGAGGCATCCTTATACGATCTCGTCTCAGTCAATGGTAGAGAAGTGGAGAATTTAGGTTGTATTTTATATAGCTATAAGTCTTGCATTTATACCGCCGCCTTAGTCAACCCCCTATGCAGCACTACAAGAGTATAATTCTGCTAGTCTTATTCACCTGATGCTCTTATTTGGGTGGGAGTTATTTATAGTCTTATGGTGGGAGGAATTGCCATCGCTTGAATAGGTAGATCATATTAATCGATCACACGGTTAAGCTTCATCAGGTTAATTACGTGTTATATCACGTGGTAGAATTTTCTGGAAGAAATAGAGTATCCTCTGGCTCATTCTCTTAACAGTGTTTTCCTCCTTGGACACTTTTGGCTACTCTATGTAAACTCTAGAATGAATGTGAACGACTCTACAACTAGATGCGAATCCGGCTTCCTCGTGTACGAACACAAAGTATAATAAATTCCCGGTGCACGGACCATGTTACAGTGTCCATGTCTCATCATACAAACTGTAGACTTCTCAATTGCATATCACTATCGGATATATGTTTTACCGGTAATTCAATAGCAAATGTCTGCCTAGCAGTCACTCACTACGCATTAAGGTATCACACAGTAGGTAAATATTTCACAGAAGTATTATTCCTAGCTACTAGCTGCTAATATGCTTTGTTGTTGCTAGGACCAGAGTAGCCTATCATATAATTCGCAAATCTATGGAAAGATTGCTTTCCATCGAATTAGATCGGGATTGTATGAAAAGCAAGAGCGCCGCTGGAGAGAGTTAATATCACTTACGTCGAATGCCGTCGCCGATCATGATGGTCTGTCGGAGGATGGGGCCATTTAAGATATCACGAAGGGCAATGCCGCTGGACTGGATGGTTGAGCGGCCCATCACTATAGGTTTCCAATATATATATCAGCACAAACGACGGCCCATCCGATAGGCCTCACTAAGACGGTGACCCCAGACCAAGAACTCGCCAATGCCGCTCCCAAGGTGATGGCGGCGGCTGCAGCTCCAGTTCCCGCGCCTAATGCTAGAGTGCCCATGAATTGCCCAGCGGCCGATGAGCCTTAGCCCGGCCCCGACCCCGACGCTACCGGTGCTGGTCTGGGTTATGTTAAGTGTGATAGGTCGGTTAGCAGACCTCATAATATGGGCCAGCTCGTTTGCGCGCTGCTCAAAGGAAATATGCATCATCTAATGTCTCCTAACTGTGCTCTTGCTCTAGTACCATGAGCCCGAGTTGGAGTCTTCCTTAAGCTTGCCCTTAACCGTGATCTTTGAGTCAGACGCTGATTCCAGCTTAGACTGATGGTAATTGCCATTCTTATTTGGATTCTAGTTGCTGCTGGGCTCCTGCTGCTAGCAGCTTCTCAACAATCTCTTGATGGCCGTTCCAAGCTGCTGCTTGGAGTGCAGTCCGTCCATTATATCCAGCAGCAGCAGCAGCATTAACATCGGCCCCTGCTGCTAGCAGCTTCTCAACAATCTCTTGATGGCCCTTCTCAGCTGCTGCTTGGAGTGCAGTCCGTCCATGACGGCCAGCAGCAGCAGCATTAATATCGGCTCCTGCTGCTAGCAGCTTCTCAACAATCTCTTGATGGCCCTTCTCAGCTGCTGCTTGGAGTGCAGTTCGTCCATGACGGCCAGCAGCAGCAGCGTTAATATCGGCTCCTGCTGCTAGCAGCTTCTCAACAATCTCTTGATGGCCCTTCCCAGCTGCTGCTTGGAGTGCAGTCTGTCTATCACCGTCAGCAGCATTAACATCGGCTCCTGCTGCTAACAGCTTCTCAACAATCTCTTGATGGCCATTCCCAGCTGCTGCTTGGAGTGCAGTCTGTCCAGAATCGCCAGCACCAGCAGCAGCATTAATATCGGCTCCTGCTGCTAGCAGCTTCTTAATAATCTCTTGGTGGCCCTTCTCAGCTGCTGCTTGGAGTGCAGTCCATCCATAATAGCTAGCAGCATTAATATCGGCTCCTGCTGCTAGCAGCTTCTCAACAATCTCTTGATGGCCGTTCCAAGCTGCTGCTTGGAGTGCAGTCCGTCCATAAAAGCCAGCAGCAGCAGCATTAACATCGGCTCCTGCTGCCAGCAGCTTCTCAACAATCTCTTGATGGCCTTTCCCAGCTGCTGCTTGGAGTGCAGTCTGTGTATTATCGCCAGAAGCAGCATTAACGTTCGCTCCGCATGCTAAAATTAGCTTAACGATGGCCTCATGTCCGTTCTGGGCAGCATACCACAGAGGCTCTCGTTTCCAACTATCTTCCACATTTGGGCTGTGTCCAAGTTCAAGGAGTATATCTGTGGCCTTGTTCACCCCAAAGAATCCCGCCAAGTGTAGTCCGGTCATTTTCTTTGGAATTGTTTGACTGTAATTTACATCCAATGAGTGTCCCTTAGTGGCCATCAGCGCTTGACTCGATGCCTCGACCTTAGCTTTACTCTCGAGAAACCTGATGACTTCTTGACTCGCTTCATCCTTAGGAGCATGGTGTCCCCAGTTGCATGCAGCATAACCGTAGAACGGAAATGATTGTAATCGCTCCTCAAATTTCTGGTCTGTTTCACAGAACCCAGTCTCAAAAGCGCTAAATGAGAGGTAGGCAACGCAAACTGTGGCAATCTCAGTCTGTGCAGTTGGAAACCAACGTTTCTGCGTCCGCTCGAAGTATTCCTGAGTTGTATAGTGGACTAGCCGTATGATCTTGCTTTCTTCGTCGATAGTGACTAGTCCAGCACATACCGAGACCATCTCTTCAATCTGGACTAGATTCTCTTCATCTAATTCAGTGTTATTTATTTCCACCGCAAGTGCATGTTGAAGCTCCTTTGTAGTAAGTGGTCTCTTTGCGCAAGTAATCCACTGTAGAACCAGCCATGCTAGCTCCTTGGAGTCTGAATCGTGACCCTCGATCCTCTGTACAGCCTCTTCGTAAGCACAATCGTATGCTTTCTCTCCGGTGGGGAGGTTCGCCAATGTATTTTTGATTTTTTTTAGCGTTTTTTTAGTTCTGATAGTTTCGAAATGAAGCTGCGCGAGGAGGAACCTGTTCAAATGTTACATGCTAGTTTTTGTATAATAGCGACACAGAAACTTACATTCCCTCAACCACCCTTGTGATCTCTGTTTTAATCTCTTCGCAGTGTGTTTCTAAGAATTTCGAACCCAGCTGTACTATCTGGCTATCCAAATATCTTCGCACATCCTCATCATAAGCACGGATCTCAACCTCTTTGCTTCCCTTGAATTTTTCCCTAATCTCCGGGATAATCCTCGACGTCGCAAAGATATTTACTCCATTCCTCATTTGAAGGTTGGAAAGTTCTGAGATCAACCTCGCCCGGCAGCCACTGGATGCTTGGCATTCGTCAAGAGCGTCAACGATGATGAAGATTCTCGAATATATTATCGTCACAGACTGAAGAACTGTCAAGATTTCATCAAGGGAAGGCCGTGTTCGTTTAGCTTTATGGCGATTATAAAGTTTTTTAATGCTCTCAGGTAGCCAAGACTGGCTCTCAGCTAGCTGTTTCAACACGCTTGCTAATAAGTCGTAAATCTTCTGCTCTTCCTGCTTTTTGAAGTTGCAGTAGATGTAGGCGATGCCGGTCTTCGAGTCGTTATAGAACTTTGAGTAAAGGTAATCAACCACAATTGACGTTAGGATAGTCTTTCCTGCCCCAGGGATGCCTGGACAGAACAGTGTCTGACTGCTTGTAGTCAGCCAATCCTGGAACTCTCTTGACTTAAGGAACCAAATTCCGGTTTCTGGTTGCCGTCTGTTAAAGTTATCGCTTTGCTGCGGGCCGTAGTCGGTTCGTGTGAGCCAACCGAGGATTTCAATATCATCCTTTCCATCCAGCTTGGACCTAATGTGTGTAACATCATTACGAACTATATTTATTATTAGAGGTATTCTATTGGCTTAACTGGGGAATGACTAACATTCTTTAATTATGTCTCTCACTGGGCGCTCTCCGTTAACGTCGCTTGGCTGAACATATTGAAGCAGCTCCTTTGCAAACGCTGCAGCTACCGCCGCAGCATGTTCCTGCCAATCTTTGTCCTTTTGCGAGTCGGCATAGTCGCAAATGCCCCGGATGACGATGCATGGGAAATTATTCATCAGTCCTGCCGCTTCCATTTCGACGCACAATACCTTCCCGTCATAACGCTGGTCAAGGTTATCACGAAACTTGGCGTCTTTGATCACTTGGTTACCCGACGCAATCAAACCGTAATGCACCCGTATATCTCTTTGCTTCCTCTGGTCTGCATCACCTGTAGCTGTCCCATCTATCTGTTCGGCTTTACATTCTAAAGGGTTGCTAGGGTTCTGGGAACCGCGACCGTTGTGAGAAGTGTGTGATTTAGACAGAGGGTCTATCCGTGACTCAGACCAAAGGTATTTTGGCACCAGTCTCGGCCATTTCTGTTTCAGTTCGTCTAGATACTCTGGTATCTTGGACCCGCTCAACTCATTTTCTGTCTTTAGTTTCGTTAAAGCTGTGCGGAGTGGGGTAGGTGGGTTGTTCAACGATCCGATCTCCTTGAATTTGCCGCCTTCCTCCGCCTTGCCGAAGTCCCATTGAACTACCCCACCATACTGGTCTGTAGGTGTGCTGACCACTACATCGCCAAGTCGAACCTTAGGGGGAATACCTCCGCCGATACCAACCATTAAGCCGAACTTGATAGATGGAAAAGTGGAGATCATCCAGGTCGCGATAGTCGCTGCTAAGTTAGCACCGATCTCACCTTCCGGCAGGCAGGCTATAACGATGTTATGTTTGCCGATCGACCCCAAGGTGTATGCATTTGGGTCATTTGGCGGCTTCGGAAGACAGACATGTCTATCGTCGAGCATAGCCGTCGCCGCGGTCTGCTCTTTGGATAGAGCGCAGACCCATCCCACAGTGTATTCATCATGAGTTCTGGTCTTGGTAGCTGTTTGGGCAGCCATTGCGAGAATCCGCGGCGTTTTCGCGTTGTTGTTAGCGCCTTCTAATACAAAATAGCAAGACTCAATCTCGGGGGAGGGCGTGATGTTTTGCGGGGTTATGGTGAGATTGGCACACGTGATAGATAGAGTTCGCACGTGATGGAGCCGCTAGTTTTGGATAAATATTTTTACCGAACTTATGAGTGCTAGACTTATTGGCCTCTAGCGGGGCAACGTGGCCCGTTTTAAATTGTGGTTCTGTGAATTCTAGATATGCTGGTGCTTGGTAGAATATGAACCGGACCACCTATCACATCGAAACCAGTTTCGGATCACTCTTGACGTTTCTAGGAGGAAAATAGCAATGTTTAATTCTGTATAGAGTCGGTGGCTTGTGTGCGGGGTCATGAATCTCAAAGCATTTCCACGAAAGGAAAAAAGTCAGCGCATCTTTCGGATTAACTATTTACCGAGACTAGCACGAAAAAATAAGTAAAGTAGACACTGGGGTCCATTTGTACTGTGCACTGTGGAGGCCGCTAGGTTAATTATGGACCCTTTGGCGCAACGTTAGGTACTTCTAGATACTTGTTAGAAAGTTGACACATGGCCAAAATGGGTGATGACACGAGCCAGTTCTGGCTTATTTCATGTATCTTTATGTACCAATGAGGTGTGGTCCGTGCTCAAAACCACGAGAGTTAACATTGGAGAGGAAGCCGGTTTCACATCTAGTTGTATGAGTGATTGGTCAAGCGAAGAAGAGACTAGAAGTCACCTTTCAGACGATTCATGCCTGCTTTTCTCGATTTTTCAAGCCCCGCGTCACCTTCCGTAAAGCATATCATGTAACAAATCATGTTGGGCTTGGGAAAGTAGCATTGTGATTCGTGTGCTGGCGTAGGTCATGATGTGCACGACCCTCCATAAGCCATAGATTAGCCAAAACTGGAGGGGCAGAAATGTTAGTGCCATCTTTGACATTAATACTGTACAATATTATAATTCGCACTGTAACAAGCCACAAACTTCTATGGTCCGTGCGGGGAAATTTACTTAAGATTAGACAACTGCGACACTCTTTATGACAATTACTGTACTGAAACTAAAAGAGGAAATATTTCATTCTTTTTAGGAGGAAAGGCGCCGTCCGATGGACCAGACTGGATGCCGAATTTAAAGGCAGTGCAAGCAACAATCCGCTTTGCATTGGCCACAGGACGGCTGCAACACAAATAACATCCGCAAACTATAACACCCACGCACCACTTACTAACTCGCCGCCCAACTCCCATTAACACCTCGTACTAAAGACAGCAGACGCTGCTTCAGCTACCGTCGATAGGATCCTAAACACTTAGGGAATAAGCTCCAAGCTAGCCCGCTGTAAAAAATGATAAAACACGAGAAACCGTAGCGAAGCAAGAGAACAGATTGTAAGAGCAGAAACTGAATGACAAGGACTCATAGGCTTCCATAAGAAAAAAGCTACGCTTCAGAATGTACACGTACCATAGGTTCATAATTACCCTTTTAGACTTTCCACCAGGCGTAATAAATGAATAAATGAATGAATAAATAAATAATATTTTTTTATAATTATAATATTTATAAATATAATTTTAAAAACTGTTTATAAAATTAAATTAAATTTTTTATTTTTTAATTTAAGATTTTTTTTTTAATTTTTTTTATTATTATAAAGTTATAAATTATTTTTTTATAAAATAATTTTATTAATAATATTATTTTTTTTACTTTTTTTAAATAAATTATTAAAATTTTTAAAATAAATATTTATAATTTTTTAATTAATATTTTAATTTATTAAAGTTTTTTTAAAAATATATTTATAAATTTTAATAATTAATAATATAATTTTAGTTTTATTACAGTGGAAACCGAAATGAGTGTCCGCTTTTTTCAATGCAAAGTTTCTCTCCGCACGGACCACTTTTGTGAAAGTGTGGCTAGTACAGTGCGAGCTTCCTCTAATCGTCATGTACTGTTTTTAAGGCAGTGTTTTACTGTAGGGCAGTCCTAATAATTCCGTTCTTTTTTGGATGAGAGTGCCATTTCCGGCTCCTGAGGACTTTGCTTGGCACGCTGCACATGTATACATATGTGTCCAAACTTTTAGTTCCCTTTTTTCTCCTTACATATCCAACTTCATCAATTGAATATTGGGCCAATTGAGTTTATTCCTTCCGATCAGTACTTCCCCCAAGTTGTTCCGTTAACACCGTCAACCCAGCCGCCAAAATCAACGATTGAAACCGCTTTGGCTGGAGCCTTCCTCCGTCACAAAGAGCTTGCATCATCGCAGAGAGGGGGTTTTGGACTTTATCAGCTGACTTATAACACAAGTGGTGAAACAGTTCTATCTAGACCCTTCTAGAATTTAAACTAGACACTATATTTTACAAAGGGCCTCTTCAACCCTCCAATACAAAGTTATGAAAATATTAATATATAGAATAGAATAGAGTACGGTATATGTATTATCTTACGCACCACTTAAGGATTCGTCCTTCGTCGAGCTGTAATTATCCTACCGATGGAGCCTAGTAGAAACCGACTTCGTTTGACTATTCCATTATCTTGCCTTCCTCGGCGGCCATGTTTGGGTCGCGATAATAGAAATAGAACCGATTTCATTCTTAACTAGTCCGGTCCATAGAAAACCGCATTATCAATACCCGACCTGACATACAGCCAATAATAACTATAGCTCTAAATACAGCTGATATATTCGGTCGACACTCTGAAGGCAACTAAATCAGAGGCTTATTGTCTTTTGTGATCTATGCTTTGTCAGAGCTTATGCTATAGTTATGAAAGCCTGTATCTCGTGATAATACTTCAGGTGGCATCTTTATCATCGACGCATCAATTCTTAGGACTCTAAGATCGGTGATAAGACGCAAGTTATCCGCTACATCAAATTCTAGGCATTTTATAGACTTACTACTATGAAAAGTCTGAATACAATTGCCTAAGTTTGCATCCTACACTCTGACTGTATAATCATACGAACCTAAGGTAAGCAGCTGGCTATTGGGTGAGAAAACAACTAAGAATACTAAATGATTATAGCCTTTAAAGGTCTGCAGACATACGCCTAAGTTTATATCCCACACTTTCACTATACTATTGTATAAACTTAAGGTAAGCAGCTGGCCATTAGGTGAAAATATAACTAAAAATACTAAATTATTATAGCCCTTAAAAATCTACAGACATATGCCTAAATTTACATCCTATAATCTAACTATATAATTATATAAACTTAAGGTAAGCTGCTAGCTATTGTATAAAAAGATAATTAAGGATATCTCTTTATTATAGCCCTCATAAGATTACAGACAGGTACCTAAGTTTATATCCTAGACTTTTACTATACTATTGTTTAAACCTAAGGTAAACAGCTGGCTATTAGGTAAAAAGATAATTAAAATTACCTCGTTATTATAGCCCTTTAAAGTCTACAGACAGGCACCTAAGATTACATCCTATACTTTAACTATATAATTGTATAAACTTAAGGTAAGCAGCTGGCTATTTAGTAAGAAGATAATTAAATTTACCTTGTTATTATAACCCTTTAGAGATTGCAGGCAGGCGCCTAAGTTTACGTCCCATACTCTAACTGTACAATCGTCTGAACCTAAGGCAAGCAGCTGGCCATTAGGTAAGAAGATCACTGAGGATACCTTATTATTATAGCCCTCCAGAAATTACAAATAGGCACCTAAGTTTAAATCCTATAATCTAATTATATAATCGGATGAATATAAGGTAAACAGCTGGCCATTAGGTAAGAAGATAACTGAGGATACCTTATTATTATAGCCCTCATAAGATTGTAAATAAGTACTTAAGTTTACATCCTATAATCTTACTGTATAATTATATAAACTTAAGGTAAGCAGCTGGCCATTAGGTAAGAAAGCAATTAATAATACTAAGTTATTATAGCCCTTAAAGATCTATAGATATACACCTAAGTTTATATCCCATACTCTAACTGTATAATTAAATAAACCTAAGGTAAGCAGCTAGCTATTAGGTAAGAAAATAACTAAGCGTATAAACTTTTTATAGCCTTTAAAAGTCTACAGACAGGCACCTAAGTTTACATCCCAGACTTTAACTATATAATTAAATAAACTTAAGGTAAACAGCTGGCTATTAGGTAAGAAGACAACTAATAATACCTAGTTACTATAGTCTTTAAAAGTCTGTAAATAAGCACTTAAGTTTATATCCTATACTTTAATTATATTATTATATAAACTTAAAGTAAGCAGCTGGCTATTAGGTAAGAAGATAACTGATAATACCTTATTATTATAGCCTTTATAAGATTGCAGATAGGTGCTTAAGTTTACATCCCATAATCTATTTATATAATTATATAATTGTAAGGTAAGTAGCTGGCTATTAGGTAAGAAAATAATTAAGAATACTAAGTTATTATAGCCCTTAAGAGATTATAAATATATACTTAAGTTTATATTCTATAATTTTACTGTATAATCTTATAGACTTAAGGTAAGTAATTGGCTATTAAGTAAAAAGACAGCTGATAATACTAAGTTATTATAGCCTTTAAAAGTCTATAAATAGACACCTAAGTTTACGTCCTAAACTCTTACTATACTATTATCTAAACCTAAGGTAAGCAGCTAGCTATTAAGTAAGAAGATAATTAAGATTACCTTATTATTATAGCCCTTTAGAGTCTGTAGATAGACACCTGAGATTATATCCTACACTCTGACTGTGTAATTGCGTGAACCTAAGGTAAGCAGCTGGCTATTAGGTGAGAAGACAACTGAGAATACTAAGTTATTGTAGCCCTTAAGAGTCTGCAGATAGGCATCCCAGCCTGCTTTTACAGCTGGCTTAATTATTATCTATGACGGCTTTTTATCTTTAAATGTTTTTTGAATTTTACTCTATCGAGGGCTAAAAATAAAAGCAGATACGTATACTTAAAGCGGTGTAGATTTAACCACCGATTTATTCTGAAAAATAAATTGTTAGGCATTCTGTACTAAGCTTAATACTTAGCTCTTAGGCATTTGTTCCTGTACTAGTTAGTTTATGTGAATCTAATCTGACTAAACGGAAACTAACCGCAAGTAGATCTATAAGCCTTAATACTAAAAGGATGCCTTCTGATATGCCTTACAGAAGACTTAATACCTTTAACTAGTGAAGAAAATGATAGTGCAGGAATACATTAACTAAGCCTCCCTTTTAAAAAGCACCTTTTATATTATCACTAATACTACAGTTGCAGAAATAGCTAATCTAATAGATATATAAGTATTATACTGCAATTAAGGGATCTAGATTAAGTTGTTAAAGTTAGCTAATACAATATCCGGGAGCTTTTAAGCAGTAGATATTACGTTATAACGTGGCATTTATAAATTAGAGTAATTAAGAAAAGATAGTATAATAAATATCGTTTACGCCAGAAGGAGAGATAGTAAACTAGGCTTTATCTATAGTTAAATAATCTTTTATTAATTAATAAATAAAGTAAATTATATTACTATAAATAGTAAAAAAAGAGCTGTAAAGATATATTATTTCTATAAATAATAAAATATCTTTTAAAAACTCCTTAAGACTTCTAATAAAAAAGTAAAGTTTATATAAGGTAATTAGCCAGTAGACAGTCAATATAATAGTAAGGACCTGCTTACAGAAAAAGATATTCTTATCGTTCTTTAGTTTAAAAATCTAATCTAGCATCCATTTATAAAGAGAGTTAAGACCAGGTAGGTAAGTTTCTAGCTCCTTAAGTACATTCCAGCTTTAAACATCTTTAAAATTCTAACAAACCAAAGCCACCTAAAGAAATATATTATAGGCCTTAGAAATTAAATAGCGTTCAGTCTTTTCTCATAATTTATCATCATAGCTATTCTCTTCCACCAGAAGATTTACCTTATAATAGATATAAGTTTAAACAGCAGCGGAGATAGAATTCTTATTTAGCTTAAGACATAAACTGATCTTCTGCTTAGCGCTTTTAAGTTTATTCTTAATATTAAGCCAGTTGCAACTTAACACAATCCATTTAGCAGAGGAGGAGGAGGAGATCTCCTTAACTAAGGTAAGGAGGCGTAGAAGTTCTTCTATACACTTATTAAGAGCGTCAATGATCAAGACGACATCTTCAAAGCAGGGATCATCGAATATCGACTTAAGTATCTTAAATAAAGCTATCTAGGCATTACTATCTTCAAACAGCTGTTTACCTACATAATTATACTTATCTCGCACATAAGAGATAAGCAATGGCTGCTAAACAATAAAGCTATAGATAAGCCCCTGCAGCACAGCCGTTACACTTCTTAATTATACTTCAGTCGCCTAGTAAAAGAAATATAATAGGCAATATGCTTTAAGCTCCTCTAGCTCATCAATAATACTGCACAGCAGCATAGTCTTTCCCTTACTGAAATCCCCTTTAATCCAAAGTAGCCAGCACTGTAGATTGTCACGCCACACTTTAAAGTCGGCATAGTCGAGGATCCAGCGGTATAAGTCCTTAAGCAGGCCGCCTTTACTTTCTTTAATGCGCATCTTATCGTCGCAGGGATCGGTAATTCGTAAGTCTGCTAAGCAAGAGTCTGTCTGGGAGGCCGCGTGGTTGTAGATGTCGCCTTAATGGATCCTAACATTATCGCCAAAATTGCTGTTGGCAATATCGCAGGAACGTAGCGCCGTCGGATTCATTATTGTTGAAAAACTCCACAGTGATAATTCCGAGTGTTAATAGCTTAATTAGAGATAGACATTGATTAGTATACTTGGGAAAAATATGACATCGGGAGTTCGCTTAACCCCTCACCTTAATAGATTTTCTTAACCAATCAACCGCCTCAATATGCCGCAAAATTTCTTTAGCAAGGAGATACTTGAAGGCAAAATTGCAACTCTAACCATGTATTTAATTAATGATTTTATTCTATACACATAGGAAGCTAGATTTAACTACAGGCTTGTAGTAGATTAGCTTTAAATAGAACATTATAAGAAAATAAGCTGATAAAAACTTTGCACAGCTGCATTAGCGTGTATCGTCGCGGCCGTCCCTAGATTCACGGATGATCCTTTGCTCTATTATATCATAAACTGAGTTTTACCCCTTTATATGGTCATTAAGGGGGCATTAAATAACCAAGCTAGTCTTATAATAGTAGAATATCCCGACCCGATGAATGTCAGACAGCTTAATGAGCTGCTTACGTGCATTCATTCCGTATAATGGGAAATAATATTGCTTCGGCCGATGCAGGAGAGTGGCTGTTTCGATAGTGCGGGGCAGTGCTATGTTGATGGTGCGGTTGCTGCAGCTACAGGCATGCTTGAAGTGTTATGTAGCAGGGCAAGTTTCGTCGAATCATCCCATTCATTGGATTATGCCGCAATAAGTCGGGTTGTAGATTTATTAGCACTTGTAGGTGATACAAGAGCCTGTTCTGGACGCTTCTTGGTGGCATAAACTGGCCGATTTTGTTGCTGCCTAGATGGCAGCAAATTGGACGTCACAAATAAAGGTTAGTTCCGGCTTGTAGTATGGCCTTCGCTGAGGGTACGACCTGCTCGGAAGCTGCGCACGGTATCAGCCACAGTGCGCCACAAAAGTGGCCCGTGCGGAAAGAAACTCACATTAACAAACTGGACACTCATTTCGGGCGCTACTGTATATATATATTTATTTATTAAAAATTTATTTTTATTTTATAAAATATTATTTATTTATTTATATTTAGAAATAATTTTTTTAAAAATTATTTAATGTAAAAATAATATTAATTTTATTATTTTTTAAAATAAGCTTTATTTACCGTAGAGTTCGAAATGGGTGTCGCGGGTTTTCTTAGTTAATTTAGTAACAAGGCGACGGCTAATTGTGGACTTGTACCTCTAGGCTTCCAGTTGTATCCTGCAGGTACTGCGGGGCACTTTAACAAAACCAGGACAGGCCCCCGCCAGCACTGGCAAACCCCCGTCTTTCCATTTCCTTCCCATTCTTTCGTTTGCTCTCTCTATAACCACAAAGGCTTTCTACAAGCGAATCATAGCAACGCCCTTAGAGACTGCAAATCGCAATCTAATGAAAACTTCTACGAAAATGGGTGTCGCGGGCTTTGTTAAATAATGCTTTTACTAACGTTTATTTTAGTTACAGTACTTATAGGTTTATATTTATGCTGTACTAGCTTGTACCATAAAGTATTATCACAGTGAACAATAAATCAACATAGTCTCCTACAACCTTCACTTTGCAAAGTTATTGAGAAAAAGAGAAAGACATGTGACGCTCAGAGATTATAATAAGGGATATGGCCCTGAACCAGACATCCTGATTACCACCACTCTTCCTGAATCATTACCCAGAGCTATAGGTACGTCCGTTGACGGCACCTGTGGCGAAGTAAAAGGTAGTGCATAAGGCCATACGGCCGACGTAGAAGGCTGGTATTCGGGCGGAAGCCACAAAATATTGTGCTCATTCCAAGTGATCCAACATCCATCGGTGCTTAGGCCGTAGCTAAAATGGTTTGCCTTTTGAGTATTATTAGCAATGCGTTGGCGTTGATCCTGATCCTGAGCTGTATCCGAATCTGGAGACAGAACGTGAGCTACCATTGTAGATTGGGCAGTTCGATGTTCTATACCCAATTTTATAGGGCCGACTTCAGTATGCAGGTTTGAGGCCGTGTCGTCGAAGGATATAGTATGTATTTTGGTGTCAACGTTAAGGGTCTGTTGCTCTTTGCCTATTGTTGCGTCCCAGATCTTTATAGTCTTATCGAATGATCCTGAGGCAAGGTAGCGGCCATCTGCTGAGAAAGCAACTGAAATAACCTTATCGCTATGGCCCTTAAGGGTTTGTTGCTCTTTGCCTGTTATTGTATCCCAGATCTTTATAGTCTCCCCTGACCCTGAGGCAAGGTATCGGCCATCTGCTGAGAAGGCCACTGAGGTGACCTTATCACTATGGCCCTTAAGGGTCTGTCGCTCTTTGCCTGTTGTTGCGTCCCAGATCTTTATAGTCTCCCGTGACGCTGAGGCAAGATAGCGGCCATCTGCTGAGAAGGTAACTGAGGTGACCCTATTACTATGGCCCTTAAGGGCTTGTTGCTCTTTGCCTGTTGTTATATCCCAGATCTTTGTAGTCTTATCCCCAGACGCTGAGGCAAGGTATCGGCCATCTGCTGAGAAGGCCACCGACCAGACCCAATCGCTATGGCCCTTAAGGGTCTGTCGCTCTTTGCCTGTTGTTGCGTCCCAGATCTTTATAGTCTCCCGTGACGCTGAGGCAAGATAGCGGCCATCTGCTGAGAAGGTAACTGAGGTGACCCTATTACTATGGCCCTTAAGGGTTTGTCGCTCTTTGCCTGTTATTGTATCCCAGATCTTTATAGTCTCCCCTGACCCTGAGGCAAGGTATCGGCCATCTGCTGAGAAGGCCACTGAGGTGACCTTATCACTATGGCCCTTAAGGGTCTGTCGCTCTTTGCCTGTTGTTGCGTCCCAGATCTTTATAGTCTCCCGTGACGCTGAGGCAAGGTAGCGGCCATCTGCTGAGAAGGTAACTGAGGTGACCCTATTACTATGGCCCTTAAGGGCTTGTTGCTCTTTGCCTGTTGTTATATCCCAGATCTTTGTAGTCTTATCCCCAGACGCTGAGGCAAGATATCGGCCATCTGCTGAGAAGGCCACCGACCAGACCCAATCGCTATGGCCCTTAAGGGTCTGTCGCTCTTTACCTGTTGTTGCGTCCCAGATCTTTATAGTCTCCCATGACGCTGAGGCAAGGTAGCGGCCATCTGCTGAGAAAGTAACTGAGGTGACCCAATCGAAATGGCCCTTAAGGGTTTGTCGCTCTTTGCCTGTTGTCGCATCCCAGATCTTTATAGTCTTATCCCGTGACGCTGAGGCAAGATATCGGCCATCCGCTGAGAAGGCCACCGACCAGACCCAATCGCTATGGCCCTCTAGTGTTTGTAAATAAGGGCTCCAATTGTATGCTACTGTAGGCTTAACCTTTAGCCATTTAGGTTCTTCCTCTTTAAATACATTCCGTATTAAGCTGTTTAATGGACTGAATATAAGCGCTGATGTATATACCTGGAGTGGACTATCCGCAATTATTAAAATGTTCTGCCGAATAAACCGTCGTAAGTCTTGCGCAAGTTCTAATAATTGGCAGTCTGATGACTGGCGGTCCGGTGATTTTCCCTTCATTGATCAGTTTCACTTCACTTATTATAGTACTACTGGCTTACTCTTAGTAGACTCTCTAGCCTTGCCATTGAAAGAACCCCATCTTCTATATGGCCCATAAGGCTCAAAGCCTCAAGCCAGTACAGGAAGTATTTCCGAAGGAATAGGAAGACCTCCTGGCACTTATGGTCAACATAGCCCTGAGAATGGCCATTGCTGTTATGCATATCACAGAAATGGTCGACCCAATGGACGCAGGAATACCGCATAGCGGCTAGCGGATCTGAATCTGGAGCCTTAATTTCGTTGATTGTGAGTCCGGGAGGGTATACATAGTAGATATTCCGTCGTAACGTGGCAGACATAGCTTATAAAGACCGCGCGAAGATGACACCATGGACGTCGGCGCAACTAGGGTAGAGGATATTAGGTATCGCCTTATTTAAGTAGTCGTTGGCTGACTGGTGGATAACATAAACCCGGCTGTCTCTCACAGTGAGAAATAAGCCACAAAACCCTATTGTCTTATCGATCAACTCGGCATCTGCAGGATTATCGTCTGGGGACTCAACAAGGGTGCTAAGCTCAGCCAGTGTAACAGGCTGATACACGAGCAACACGGTCGCAAGGATCTGGTAACAAAACTTAGCATCGCTATCCTCTAAATCATATATTTGCTCCATCATCCTCTCATATAAAGAATCAAGTCCAGGGGGAAACCCGTTCAACGTTCGGAGAGGCCTCTCTAATGAGGTCCTCTTTAGGTTCTGACAGACTAAGGATACCCAGAGGAAGGTATTATTAGAATTAGAGGATAAGTGATGGTAAACAGCATCTTTTGTTATAGCATTGTATTTCTTCTTCTGCGCTAGCCATTCGACTTGGTGTTTGATATATGCATCGACGGCTGCCGAGATGGACTTTTCGTTGAGCTCTAGACAGAGCCTCATTTGCTGAGTGGCAGAATTAAGACGCTCCTCAATATCGGGCCAGTTGCGACTGGACACTATCCACTTGACGCGGGAAAAGAGGGCGGACTTCGTTCTAATAAAGTCAAGCAGCTTTGATAGGTCGGTCACGCATTCGTCAAGTGCGTCGATAATCACATAAATCCGCTCCAGGCTTGCATCCTCTAAAATATTTGAGAAGATCTCCGATAATGCAGTCCATGCATTCACATCTTTAAAAATCGCTTCCCCCCCATGCTTATATTTTTTTTGTATGTGGGAGATAAGCACCGGTTGCTGCTCCACAACCAGGTAGATAAGGCCTCGCAACACGGCTGTAGCGCTGTTGATTCGCTCGTCGGCGGCCTAACAGAAAAAGTAAGATAGCAGTGTATTGGCCTTCTGGTCCTTTAGTCTCGTTCCGGAGCTTAGCTCATTCACAATGCCGCAGAGCAACATCGTCTTGCCTTTGCCAGGATCGCCCTTTATCCAGAGCAGGCGGTTGCGTTCGTCGTCGCGCCACTGTCGAAAATCGCTATGCTCGAGGATCCAGCGGTATGAATCTTTAAATAGGCCGCCCTTTGTGGTCTCAATGCGAGCTTTATCGTCGCGGGGGTCCGTTGTACGTAAATGCGTGAGGCACTTCGTATCCTCTTCTCGAGGCTTATTAGGCGAGTGGTAATGAAAATCAACTTGGTTGATTGTGGTATAATCGCCAAAGTGGTTGCCAGTAATATTGCGCGAGGATGGCGCCGTTAGGTCCATTGTGATTAAAAATATAGCAAGAGGCTCAAACTTGTAACGTATAAGATCTTCTGCGCCATCAACCACAATATCTTCAAATACAATGGAAGAAATTGACCGAGTGGCAAACCACGGGCGGTATTCGAGGCAGCGGAATGGAAGCAATTGCACAGGATACCCCAGAACGGAGAATATTGCCTTGCGGAAGCTTTTTATTCACGCAAGATCAGGATGGAATTATAGGGCTAGAAATATCCGGCCCAGCAATTGCAGCCCGATCGTTGGGCAGCTTCAGATTATGCATAGCTGCCATACCAATCTACCCCTCATTTGCTACATGTACAAGCGCACACGAGAGTGTGAAATATACGTAGCGGCATGTATTGCAACGTATCAGCTTGTTTCACGCGAATACGTCGCCGCAACGAGATGCGTTTTCACGGAATCGTAGCGACAGGACAAAATACTGTAAAATATATATATCGTTGTCTCTATGCACAATGGTCCTCTGCTTTGGAGCGTTATCTAAGACGCCTTCCTCTTTGGGCAGCTATCATGAGGCTTGTCCTAGCTTTGTTACAGTGCTCCACAGTACCTGCGGGGTACGGCTGGAAACGTGAAGGGTACAAGTCTACAAATAGCCGTCGCCTTGCTACTAAATTAACTAAGAAAACCCCCGACACCCATTTCGAACTTTACGGTAGTATGATTCACTAATCAATCTATATAAAGACCATTGATTTCTTGAGTTCGTTCTTGGGCTCCCCCGGCCGGACTTTCCAAGTAGTTGTCCAGGATGGGCCTGAACCATTTCAAAGCGGTTCCTTCGAGGCGCGATGAGGCAAAACGGACCTTCTTCTCATCCGTGTCGAAGGTATTCTCATAATCTTTGAAGTAAGCTTTGAGTTGGATCAAATGCGAACGAAGTTCTTTGACGTCTCCCTTAAACATAGGGGGTGGCTGGCGTTTGATGAGGATTCCCATGTCAACCGTCCTGGGTTTCTCTTTGTTGAGTTTGTCGACCAAAACTTTGTTGAGTTAATACATGTTTTGGATGAGCGCAGAGAGTTCCTTGTTTCCGAATGACGAAATGTCGGGCAAGTCTTCCATGGTGACATTTCCTTCACTATCGACCGTGAACGTACCGGGATCGGTAGTTAGGGTATTGGTGGTCGAGCTAGATCCAGGCATAGTGGTTCGTATTGCTCAAAGATACTCGGTATCCTTCTGAACAAGAGTCGTTAACGTGTGACGTCCCGACCCAATACTCTAATAGTATAGGGTAAGTTCCCAAGGTAATAAGCCAAGGTCAATTGGTTTATGTTGGCAGAGAGGACAGGAAGTAGCTTTGAGCAGATGTAATCACGAAGCGAGTAAGATGTAATAAAGATTCAGTCTGTATTCAATCTTGATGCTTTGTTAACGACTGTCTAAATAAACTATCTAAAGAGTGTAGAGAATCGAATCTTATATATCCAGTCGTTCCCGGTGGCTCACTCTCAGGATCGTGAGCCCGAGTGTAGGATCATCAACTCATGCGTGATCCGTCTAGGGTGGCTCACGATGGACTCGTCGCTCCTGCGTTGATTGGTTCTTCGGAAGAAGTATTCTTCCGTGGTACATCCTTGATGTACCTTATCTTGGATCAGGCTGTAACATATTGCCAGGGCTATAGAAGAGTTGAAGACTGAGTGTCTCATTTAGTAAATTTTTTAAAAGAAAATGTAGGAGAAATATCTCTTTGTGCGTCTTTCTAATACGCAGAGACAATAACCATATTTCCCTTCACTTGTTAATGTAGATTAGTGACATTTTCTCGTGTTCAAGGGTGAAGCAATCGTCTGCATCCGGTACACAAAAACGCATTCTTTAACTGAAAGATAAGACCACGAGTATGCGTTCTCTAACTCATTCAACATAGTCATTGAATTTTCTACTACGTAAGAAAAAGGAAAAGATCTCATAGCACTCAGCTCTACCAAGCCACGACATAAAAACTACTGGCCTCATGGAGAGTACTTGTTTGTACTTGCATCTGCACCACGCGACCCTGCCTGAAACGTCGCGTTGATGCTAACGGTTTTCTTAATTCCCATTATCCTCTCTTCGCTGCCTTCACTCTTGTAGTTTAACTCCAAGTCATCCATACCGTCATCGAAGCCACTAGGTTTCTTCAAGCGATGGGATTCATTGTTCCAGTTGCTTGATTGTGCACCTCCGCCGGGGACACCATCACTTAACTCGTACGAACAATCATGCTTTGAGGAACCAAACAGAAAGGGAATAAATCGAGCCAGCGGCATTCTCAGCGACGGTGCGCAGGCGCAAATCACGCCGACCGTGGATTCCACTTGAGTCCAGATGACTGATGTTCCAGTCGCCCAGGTGAAGTCCAAGATGAAAGTGGCATTGAAGTTGAGACTAATCAGACGCTCGATACTTGTGATGCATACACTGAGGAACATTAGAAAGGCGGGACAAGCGTTAATTGGAATGCTCACAATGCTCCGAGAACAAAGACAGCTAAAATGCTAAGCTTTGCACGACGATTCATCTGCAATTTCAAAATCACAGGAATTGGCAGGACGAGAACCACAACGTCCATGAGGGTGTTCCATCCAGATTGGCCGTACCAGAACGCTTCAATGTTGATGCTAGACTAATATTAGACACGTGTTAACACCTAAAAAGAGCAAGATGACTGACCAATGGCCAGGTATAGCTTTATCCCAAGAATACTTGATTGGGGTGCACTGAAAGATTGTTGTGAAATTGAGCGCAACCAGGCCGAGGGCTATCTGAATGATAAGTGCCCAGCAGATAATTCGGAACTTTTTCTGTGGAAAGATGTCGAGATAAAGGAATAGAAACGATAATTTTGTTATGCCGACAGTGTTCTTGACAAAGCACTGGAATACGAAAAAGTATAGCAACGAGTGGTATCGTTGTTCCGCAGTAAGGTAAGGGGCATGATGCCCAAAGCCCCAGTTCAAAATGGCTGAGAGCTTTAGTTAGCGACAGAAAACAATTGATGCGATATTGAATGCCCTTACCGACTGTGATACAGGCTACTTGAATAATGTTAAATATCTATTGACAAGTTAGTGAAACGCAAAGAGATATCGTACAGACAGCATATTACCAAGCAGATGACAACGCAAATATCGGCCTTGTTCAGCCCGCCGCCGCCGTTTTTGACGCACCGCCACCATACACGAAATCCAACAATAGCCGTCGCAATGACAAGCAGAGGTATATTCGCGTATATAAAGATGTAGCCATTTTTCGTATCTGGGCCGTTGGGCACAGTGATTGCCGTTGCTGTCATGCTATCGGCTGGATGCGAGAACAATGAAATGATAAAGAATGAGACTGTAGTCAGATGGCGATACCGATCTCAGGTATTGCTACAACCTATCAATTTGCTTCACTGTTAGGCAAGGATTGGGCGATTGAATCGCACTTAAAGCAATTAATCCAACAGAGACCACTATCTATAAGGAATCGACGGCGTTGGACAGCTAGACATTGCTCTCCCGCTAAGCTCATCCTTGATCATAGCATTCACTAATGAGGTGGACCAAGCTTCGTCCGAATTTGTGGATCTCCCAGCCCCAAGGGGTGCCCTAGCACTGGCCCAAGAGCCATGGCAGCCTTGTTAGTGGCGAAGATCAGATGTATTCTAGCTCGAAACGTACAGTAAGCCATAAAATTGACATTTAATTCTGCAATGCGTGCGAAGTAGATCTTGGATTAATGCAGAACAATCCATTCTTACGTTATGTCACTGTCAAAGAAAAAACCGAAGAGGCACATTCGTACCGTCGTTTAACAGCACAGACAAATGCAATAAACCAATCGTTGAATTTCTCGATACAGTGCGGTTGCATTGTGCTTGTACAAGTATTGATATGTCAACTTTGGCGCGACGGCGCGTTACGAGGCATCATCTTGCGATGTGCAGTACGCAGAACCCGTTGCCGGGTGTTGTCTGGTCCGGTGGTTGAAACGTACCCCGGGGGGAGGGGAGCGTGGCGTTCATCCCGTCCATCGCCCTGGCTACTGAAAAGGGGCTGGACATGACAATAGTTTAGCGAACTGTCGTAAAGTGGCTTGAATGGTCACTGACGATATCTGAGAGGTCTCGACCACTTGTTTATCAGCAATGGTGGCTGAAAAGCTGCGACCGGTGTGTAACTCATCTAGTAGCATTACGAAAGCTGGCTTCGGCTCGGAATACCCCGACGGGTAAACCTAATCGAGCTATGGTGAGTCAATATCGAGCATCTGCTGCAGTATACTAGTTGTTTCTGGGGCTGAGAATAAAACGCGATTACGTGGGCAATCATTTCTCAATTGAGTGTCTATTATTAAGATTACGAGAGGTAAAAGATCCCTGACTATGAGGACAGAAACTGGCTCCTACTATCTATTGCTCAGACATGAAGCGAACTGGATAAGAAGGTCTAAGTCCGGTGGCATATACAGCGAAAGGTTTCAAGTCGAGGTGCTGCTTTAGCCGAGTTGCTAACAAATTCTAATCCACCGCCCATAACAAGCGCACTGCTCAGCTACATGAGCTGAAGAATTAGTGGCATTGAAAAGAAGGATAGCTTTTGAGCTTAACTCATAAAGGAATGGAGGTGAGAAATTTTTTCCATGCAATACGACTCTACGGTACGTGTCTTGGTCGCAAGTGTAGAATCCCCAAGTCCATCCCTTGCTAGTATGCAGACGCGTGTCTAGACCAAATCGCCATGGATGCTTGCCGTCCGCAATATGCTCCTTTCGACCTGTTCGCCTGCGGTCGAGAAATCCTGTTTTGAATGGCTTAATCTCGAACGATTGTTATACTATGCCATCGCCTTCCCACTAGAAAATCGGAGCACATGTAAATGAGTATGACCGGCCATGCAGACACAGGAGCTTATTTGCGATTATTTCTGTTTCATGCCGTGGGTGGCTAACCTTCGTGTGGACGGCTTTCTATCCTGTATTTTACCGACTCGTACGAGTACGGAATACGGGCCTTTAAAACGAAGATACCTCTACAGACAAGTATAGTTATACGAGCCTCGTAATGTTGCTAGTCGAACTGCTACTACTTCTAACGCGTAAGCCTACCCCGTGGGTTTCGGTAGATTAGAGGACAAACATGATGGTGGGCAGATATTTTGTCAAGCGGCCCCACTCGGGGAGCATGGTGGCAGACCAAGATTTCGAGAGGGAGGGGGGATCTTGCAGGGTCCAGGTGACGGGATCGCGGCCGAGAGCCTTTCAGGACGCACCGTGATGCCACCGGCTCCGAGCAAGGCCGTGGCCTTCACGCCCCGCAACGTAAACTTCTTTTGTAGCGCTATTACTGATTCCCGGCTGTGGTCTCGCACGGGCCGCGTCCACCGGAAATCCCATCCGTTAGTGGATTTGACAGGGGACCGTTGCCCCGGCCTAGTATCCACATCTGCGACGCAAGTGACATTCTGGGCATTCTGCAGGTGAACCAACGACCATAGATGTGGAGAGAAAGCGAAAAATCAGCGATGAGTTTGCCGGCCTGGTCGTCTCCCGTTAGGGCTGGGGGGAGAGGGTAATTCAACGTCTGGGGGCCCACGCGAAGGAATTCATGAGTTGTCCGAAATCCTTCCAGCATTCGGGGGGAACAAGTTCCTTCCCAGCCCGTGTTCAAGGTAGCATCCACGTGAGAGGAAACCTCGCAGTTGGAGGGGACCAGGTCAATGCACCGTCCAGCGCCTCTAGTAGGGGTTTCGGTGAGGGCTAGAACAAGATCGAACTCCTCGGCCCATCCTGCAAGTCTGTTGCCTACGGCATCAGGGCCTCTTCCCGGTTGCCTGGTCCAGTGAACCGCGTTAAAGCCTCCTGCGACGGTCGATCTTGTGGGTAAAGGGTTTGCCCCATTTAATGAGGGTCTCTGTGGTAATATCTTCCGCTGCGGTAGACGTTGAAGATTGTTGTATCCGCATACCTCGACCCAGCAAACGCACCTATCTCCAGTCCATGATAAGGGGAAGTTGATCGCTGGGTAGGCTAGGGGACTTTCTAACGAACGTAAGTACCGAAGGTCTGGCTTCCCTCTAGTCGTTAAAGTGTTTTCGGTAGCCTCAGTTGTTTGTAGATTCTAATGTTGTGGACACAACTTCCTTAATCACTAATGTCCTCCGAGATTCCTCTTTTACTTTCTGTTTCTAGATTAGCATGCACTCTTTCTTTTCCTTCTATTATTCCTAAGCCGGTTTGTGATTTGTCTGCTTCTTATTATTTATTTGAAAGCTGTGTGACGGGCTGAGCTCTTATAGGTTAGTATAGAAGGGATTCCCAAGCGACAAACCTTGTACTAGGTTTATGTTGGCGGATAGGTCAGGCTGGACTGGCAGGCAATCGACAAGGAATAATGATAAGTGTTCACACAACTAGTAGAAGATACTTTTAAGTATGTTCAAGCGTTGTTCTGTATTCACAACTGGTTATCTAAAGCTATTCTTAAACGAGTGTGTCGAATGGTATATATAATGTGAGGCTCACTTGAGCTCACTCCAAGGCGGGTGAGCTGGTTTCCTGAATAGGAAGCGGCTCACTCTGGCTCACTGGCTCTTGCGTGAGCCGGACGGTGATTGGTCTATCGGGCCATCATAATTCCGTGCCGGCTGCATGACGTTGCGGCCATAAAGGTGTTGGTCCGTAACAAGCTGGGACTTCCTTTCTCTTCACCAAGCGGAGCTTGTTTCTCTCCTCACACTTTTTTTCTTCAATATCTCTCGCTTTCTTGACTATAGGATTGACACGTACTCTTTATTTTCATTCCTCTATTCTTATATAATTTTAAAAGTTAGTAACTAATAAATATCAAGAATGAAACTAATAGATATTCGTTAGCTCGAACTAAAAACCAAACGTATTATACAACTGCAGAGTAAAGGAATTAAGTATATATTGCGGGTTTAAAAACTTCGACGTATTAATTTACGCTTTTCCCCCACCCTATTGCTGTGATACATACGTGCAACTTATTGACTTCATCAATGCCAGATGTGTTAGCCAATCAGGATTTTGCGGTCACCCAATCGGATGTCAAGCATACACATTGCACGCTAAGGGATGACCTAGCCAATTACCTCGATTACCCAGGCTGGAGACACAGACGCCGCCCCCCCGTTATCAACACTAAGGATGGTGAGAGAGCTGTTCGTAGCCTTGTCTATATATATTCTAATTCAGTTAATCATCCCCTCCAGCTCAGCCTGCTTCTCCTCCATAGGAATAGATACACCACTACATGTGTTCAATAGCTCGTTCTCCACTTTGGAACATTCATAACCCACAAAGCTCTCGCTGCTCTTCTGAAATAAAACGCGGGGTTACCGTAGGTCTCCCGGGGTGGTGTAGAGGGCGGGGCGATCGTTCCGTTATAGTTAGTGGGCCTACTTAACACCACAAATAAAACGTGCCTGGCAGCTACCTGAAAACAAGAACGGGCCGGCACTTATTCGTTCTACAAAAATAACCCTCGTTGCAACTCATGCCTCTTACCTTACGATTTTTGTATCACCATTCTACATGCCAAGTCCCCACCCTTTGCGCAGCATGAACTACTCTACAGACCGATGCCGTAGCATCGCGGCCGACGTTTCGCACTCAATAGAAGCGAGGGCTCAATATTTTACTCATGCTACATAATAGGAAAAACACTAGTTTTATTTTAGTACATGCTATTAGGCGTAGCTACGAATTGTTTCTACTTGGGACATACTTGGAACATTTATAGATCCGGCTAGTAGAGACTGCTCACAGCACTATTGGAAGCACTGAGACAATACTCTCCCGTCACCAACGATGATGTCTTGGCTGTTTCGAATGCGTCGCTAGCACTATGCACTATGCTACGGCAACTTAGATGTCCGCGGCCCGGCCCCTTGGCAGACTCACGCCGCCCGTCAAACCCGGGTACGTAGTAGTGGGGACTTTGTCGACTTAGTGGTGCTGATAAAAAAAAAGGTCAAGGGTAAGAATAATGAGTTTCAAGACATTCTGGAATAAATACACCGCTTAACAATTTCTAGAAGATCCCCACCACAACATTTAGGACTGATCACGAGATCACTAAACCCAGAGAAGAGATCTAGCGGCTACAACATAAGATATAAAGTTTTCGAATATGGGGATATATGCCTTGTATATATACCACAAGTTGATAACAGAGTAATGATTCCTAAATCAGCACATATCCTGAATAGCTATAGCTAGTTAACTTTCGGCATAAAAGGTGTTACGATCTGGTCCGCCGTAACAGCTAGATCCCTTATAAATAGCTGGTTCCACTATAATAATCGCTACAATTGAGATTATTAGCCTAATCTTTTGCCCTGTATGGCGTAACGGTTAGTGGACCGTAACAAAGGCTATCCACTAACGGTTATGTAAAGGCCTGAGGTTAGTGCGCACAGACTCATATATGAGTCATTCCGATTTTCTAAATCTGAGCACACATGATAATATAGACGACAATCAGGTTAAAGACCCTTTTTTCAGCTCTAGATTCTTTAATTTTATTTTACATATTTTTATCTTTTTTTTGGGGGGGCGGGGCGGGGGGAGATGGTTCCGGCTCCGGCGCTAACAGGTACATCGTAATAATGGCTCAGATCTTTACCTCAACTTCAATAGTTAAGTTATACTACCAAGTACTCTCTTAAGTACTCTCTTAGGGGGCGGTTACCTTCCACAACACCAAAACCACGGCATCTTGTGGACACCTCATCAACACAGAGTCTAAGACGCGGAAGCGGTCGGGGCCTTCGAGGCGATGAAACTGTCCAAGCTACGAATCGCCGACACCCCTGATATCAACGGACTTCTACTATTCCTAGATAACTCGACTGTCGTCGATGGAATTCTAGGCGCCACCCCGCCTCATCACAAGGGGCATACATGGGCGTCGGAAGAATCGCCAAGGAAATACGACCCGGAGTTACCACCCGAGTTGCGTGGGTCATAGGACACAAAGACGTATATGACAACGAAATGGCGGATGCACTGGCTAAGAGAGGTTCAGAAATCCCAAGATTCCTCAAAATCACTCTACCATAAGCCACAAAGAGAGCTAGTTTAGGGCGACAAAACCCCTTCCTCCTACAGAAAGGTGCGTCTCAGCTCTCACTCCATGCCCCCGAGCTCCAACTCACCGTCCCGTCCTGCGGAATTGCCAGGCCATTCCTCCTGGACGCGCCAGACAAGGATAGACAGGCAGGCTTTACACGGCACACTTACCTCCTAGGTTCCAAGGGATACCTGAAGTTCCAGAAACCAGTGGATAACAAGGGCTGATAATTTATCTCCCCCCCCCCCCCCCCCCCCAAAACCAAAAAAAAAGCCTTCAGCCCCCAGTCCCAATAGTTACAGATATAGACCCGCGGCTCATATGGAACTTTTGCCCAGATGAGGCTTTGTACAGCTAGCTTTACTTACTGGACGTTAAGTTAAACAAACAAACAAAAAAGCCCAAGTACTCTTGATCCGTAGCTGCACTAAACGCGCGAACAAACGAGAGCCGGAACTAAAGCCCAACGAGAGCCGGAACTAAAGCCCAACGAGAGCCGGAACTAAAGCCCAACGAGAGCCGGAACTAAAGCCCAACGAGAGCCGGAACTAAAGCCCAACGAGAGCCGGAACTAAAGCCCAACGCGGGAACCCCTTTTAGAAAAACCGCAGAAATATATGTACACGAGTGTGTTTCAGCTTTCATGTGACGCACTTCGCTTCCCAAGCGATATGTGCTAGATTGCGGTGATATGCTAGAGATGAGGCTTATGAAGAAGCCTCAGCAGCAGCCGTCTCATACGTGGAGTGAATCAACATCATACTGTCTAAGGGCACGGGGCGAAAAAATGATCCTTCCGTCCTCCCGCCTATGACTTTAGCGGCGGGCTAGGCATGTATTCCTTCAACCGACCTGACGGGATCTCTAGGGTGCTAAACTTGCCCAGGTTTGTAGCCCAGGTTTGTAGTGATGATGTTCGCTACTCCTGTCAGCTAATGAATTGTGGAAGCTTTGCAGATGTGAGTTGTGATGATCTCCCGGATTCTTGTGGCTGCATGTTAGCGATTGCAGCTTTTCTGGGGTGCGATTTCAGCTGGGTCGGTTAGATACTTGTATATAATAAGTGGAGACTCGGCACTTGCACTCCTTTGTCTAGTTGCAACAGTGTCATTCGTCCACGATAGCAGCGACATGCGGAAGCGCTTCCGACCACTGGTTTAGTCTTATGGCTAACGTATAACATACGTACTCGCTGTAACGTAAATTGAACGGGGGCGCTCACTGCCGATGAGTCATTCTCCTGGACTTTCCCGATCTCCATTATCGAATTGAAATTCATTCTTTCATCGCTGACGCAACTATCATCACCTTTCTTCCTTACTTCATCTCTTAGCAAGAAGGGACTGTTTTGTCCAATGGCGAATCGGATACAAACCCGCACCTTTGGCTCGGCAAATCAGGCTGACCTTCCCGATGAATCCTCAACCACTATTATTGTCTTTCTGTCTTTAGCCTTCTATAACGTTCTTGTGCTTTTCTGTATTATATTTGGTACATTTAGGCGCTATTCTGGGCTTTATTTCTGGGCTTTTGTGACGTCGACCACTGGCATTGCCCTGTCTTGCTCTGGCTTCATGATTAAGTTCTTCAGCCCAAAGTCGCTTGGCTACTTATCGTGTACGCTTAGTTTGGCGGGGTGGGTGTGCATGGTTACCGGCCAGTCGCTGGTGCTTTGGTCACGGCTACATCTGGTGATGCGGAATCCAGGGCTCCTTAGGATCATACTGTGGATCATCATTGTCGACGCTATTGTCTGTCATGGCACCGTTATCCCGATGGTGTATGGTTCGTTTTCCAACAACCCCGAAATATTTGCAAAGCCGTACTCCATCGCCGAAAAAATGGAAGTCATCATCTTCTTTCTACAAGAAGTTATGATATCCACCTTTTACATTATTGAGACAGTCGGCATTATGAGAATTGAAAACTTTCTTGGAAACCATCGATCAAGTCGAAGATTGATGCAGCATCTTGTTATTGTTAACATTCTCGTCATACTTCTTGATAGCACTATCATAATACTCGAGTTCGCAAACCTATACGACTACCAAATATCATACAAGCCATTCGCCTACAGTGTGAAACTACAACTTGAGTTCACTGTACTGAATCGCTTAGTGGATATAGCAACTCGCAGAAAAGAACCAGATAGCAGTCAACGAAGTCGAGATCTTTACATTTCGAAGAAGAATACTACTGGTCCAGTGTTGGCGACAGGCAATTCTGCCGCCGTCGAATCGCAACAAGCGGGTGATATGATTCCTATGGAGATGTACAAAACAACAAAGCCATTGCCGCCGCTCCACACAAACACTGGAATCGCAAGGACCACCACTACCACAACGCATACTGAGGAAAGACTGGATCCTGATTCTGAGAGTACCCGTAGGATATGGCCTGGGGGATCGGAGAATGGCATGTCACGAACTGGCAGCAGGAACATAAGCTTAACATCAACAGTAGATTTTCCCTCTTTCGAGTAACAATACGTTACGAGTAAAAAGAGATTTTTTGGTTTACTTATTTCTATAAATCTATCTCCGGATCACATTACGTTATTAACTCTCTGTGTGTAATCTTTTTAAGCCTTAAAATATACTCTGTATATTATTTAATTACCTAAGAGGTTTTATCTTTAGTAGGCTTCTCTTCTAATATTTCATTAGATAATCGGCCCAACGCAACGAGACTGAGATGGAAAAGATATTTGCTCCCGTGAGACATCTAGGCTTGAGACTTCCAACATGACCTTTGCGCACATGTCAATGAACTCCTTATCATCCACCTGTCCCGTAGTCGTATACTTGACTCTAAGAACGCTTTCGATCATACGCCGTAGCCCCTCTTGTCCATCATGCGGTATGATTTCCCATTTCTCCCCATCTCGCACGTTATAGAGCATGATACGTGTTAATCCCAATAAGTAGGCATACGTGCATGCTTGTAAAACATGGCTGTTAGAAAGGTGCGAGACAAACTTGATCTCCCAGATAGAATCAGCGCTTCTATTACTGCTGTTGTCTGATGGGGGAGCGACTGCGACAATATCGGCTTAACCTTAAAGGCGGGTTTCATTATCATCAACACTGAATGTTTGCTCGGCGTTAACCCCAAACCGAATATTTGCGGCGCCATCTCTCAGTTCTCCTTAAATCCTATTCCGAGCTAAGGCAAGATCTCTAGGCATCATCCAATCAAATGCGTGATTTTCCATCTGATTTTTTCGTAGCAGATAGCCCGAGATGCCAGCCTCGTATTCACATACGTAGCAACAAAGCCAAGAGATATACTGTGTTGAACCGATGGGGGGTATTACTTCGATAAGACTTTGATCGATTTTCAGTGTATTAAGCGTTCCAGTATTACTGTATTCGAAGGCCGCGACGGTGACAAGCCCATTTATATCGCTTACTACTTCATAAAATCTTTTACGTAGGTCTAAAAGGACGACGTTGGGTATATTGATATGCTCTTGCTTAGGTAGCGGTAGGGAAAGCTTCTGGATGCACAGTTCACAAGTAATAATGCTCTACAGAGGTTCATCCTGTATGTGTCGGACCATATCTCGGACCGCGATAGAAGCTGGCAGAGCAAGACCAAGCTGTAATAGTTGGCCAGTTGGGTTGGGCACTGAAAGTTTTGCCAAATTATTTATCATGTTAACAACCTCGGCCGTTTCGTATAGGTCTTCCACAGACATAAAAGGCATAAGCTTCTTACTTTCGTCGTAGACTAAGACAAGCTGTTTTCCGGCACGTATAAGAGCCACGAAAATCTCATTAGGGCACCTGTCGTTCGAAATATCGCGGCCAAAATTCTCAAAGAACGAGGAGTCAATACCAAAAAGAATGACTAAATGACGCTCGCTGCCTTTAAACTGATGGATAGTAGAAACACACATCTTCCCGTAAGTCACTCTATCATCCAGAGCCACCTCGTCATTGGTCGATATCGCAATTGGAATGCGATAATTCTTAGACAATATATTAGTCAAGAGCTTCAATAGCTTGTTTTTTCTCAGAGACAGTGCTATCAATGCGCTATTCTTTGCTCCATAGCGCTTGATCAGGGCTGACAATCTCTTAGCTAGCGCATAGCTATCATAAGGGTCGCATCTCAGCACAATAGGTTTAGGACCGGGTTTTGAGCTAGAAATGTATGATTCGTCATTAAGAAAAACCCGATTGATAAATTGAACTAAATGATTCAATAGCCTAAAGCTTTGGCTCAAAGGAATCTTAACGAATGGGTAGGGACTTATATAAGCAAGTATTCGAGGAGCTAGTGAGAGGTAGCAATGATCGGCACCGCGAAATCAATATATAGATTACCGCTCGTCACCTAGTATGACGAGTTGGGGAGAATGATCGTCAGTCCCCTGTTTATTAGCTAGGATAAAGCAATTAGTTAGCCAGTAAATAATTTCAGTACAATCCTAAAATTCGTCCAAAACAATAATATCAAATAGCGTAAAATTCCAGCGAAGAAGCTCCTTGCAACGAAGGACTCTCCTTCTTTGTTCTAATAGTTCAGCATCATTACGCACAACAGCTCCAAACAGCAAGCCGGCCATCCCGTGAAAAGTGAAAACTTGGCAATTAGTATAAGGATGAAGCCGATGACGCATCTCAAGTTGAAGTCTCTTCGAATAAGTGATCACTGCTACTCGCTTATCCGGATAAGCGGCGATAATAGCTTCAGCTGTAGCCGTTTTGCCCAATCCTAGCCGCGCTGACACTACCGCATTTTACATACGGCAGAGTCTTACAACTCTCAGTTGCTCAATAGATGGGGTAAACGAAGTCATTAAAGACTTCTCCCATCGTTGAAGTAGGTCATAACTGTGTATAGAGAATCGAGGAGATCTTTTAGGACAAAAACCCTGGAGCTGATATTTTTAAATGCTAGCGTCAACATCGTCTTATATATGCTCCCACTGCGGGTGTTCCATTTACTCACTCGTAGCTTAGAGATGTGCAGCAGTCAGACAATCATCTCAGTTTCAACGTCCACGATGTGGGAACATCGGCACTTTTGGTTGATCTGAGTTTGGGTTGAATACTTGCTGATTTGATGATGCACATGCATAGAAGAATATGAAAACCAATTGCTGTATCTGGAACTGCGATAGGTAGTAACCAGGCCCTGACGAAAATGGACGCTACTACTTGGGGAATTTGAAGGTGGGCGTTCTGTATACATACCATTATTGTTGTTTTCACCAAGAGACATGATGTAAGATTTTGAAGGTGGCGTAAACTTAATAAACAAGAGCCTTTTCCAATCGTCGTGTTGGTTTTTCCAGGAGCAACAGTCCATGTAAGTATCTTCAATCAGTGCTGATTTCATGTGCCGAGTGCTTCCGCAAATAAGCAAGATCTAGAGCAGATATATCACAGTATTATGCAAATACCCTTCCGCTATTCTAACAAATTAAACATCTAATAAAACTTACTGAAAAATTGATGTAGATATGATGTATATATGATGTAGATAAACAGCATACTTCCAAGGTAAATGGAATTGTTAGGAATTACTGATTCCGGTTAGTACGTATACCCATTGCGGCCTAGATCCTCGATTTGGCTGAATCTGTGTGGCTAAGTTTCTGCATTTCACCAGGCTAAAAGCTAATTGTCTACTTAAAAAGGAAAACGCACCTTAGAAATTCTCAGACCAGTACGAGCCACAAAGCTTCGACAGAGCTTGGAGCTTTACTACAGATCAAGCGCCCCTTTCGTGATTTTCCTTATGACTCTCTCTGGGACCACGAATTTCTTCAGCATGTTGACGAATGGGCATCATTCATAAAACAACTCCACTCCCTGTTAGCCGGAGTGTCGCATCTAAGTAAATTATTGTTAATGCTTAGGCAAATTTAAAGCCCCATTCACAACGGCCCTATACAGTTGTTGTAGATGAAAAAGGACCTTTAACTCGAATTAGTTGACTGTTATCGGCTGAGGGCCGTAGTCTAACCCCGCCTTGACGGAAATTATATAGTTTGCCGAGCGTAGTTGAATAAGAGGATACTGAACTGTGGCGTATGACTAGGCGCACACAACACAAGAAGTTAACTGAAAGTCGACCACGCAGCCTTAATGCATATAATTCTTGTTCTAACAAGTACGCCTGCTAATCAGATCTAGGCCTGTTGCCAACTTAAGGATTCATTTATCAAACCACGGCAGTCTTCATTGTATGGCGCGAACAATACCTCAGGTAGGCTTAAATCTCCGGCAAAATCGATGAAGTATCTGATTCTGAACAGTGGTAGACTGCTCGGATCGTTATCCCGCGAATTGCTAAGCTACAACACTTCGCCCACTTTTTCAGCGTTAAAAGAAAGAGCCACGGGCCAGCGAAGCAAAGTGACTTGCAACTACTTCCAGAACATAACATCACTCAGGAAACAGCGGGCAGGGAAAATATAGGACCATACGACCGGGCCTTTCAGCAACACCTCATCAATTACGGCATATTTCCTCATGCTTATGAGTTCCCAGATGGTGGATTGCCGCCAAAGCTTGAAAATAAAGGAGATATCCTTCAGGCTCTGGCCCAACCCAGAGCATCGCTGGGTCATTTCTCAAACCATGACTTCCGCAAGTTCGAACTAGCAGAAGCGCAAGCAATAAAGGAGAGAGATATCACGACAAGCGTCATCCCTATCATTGAAGGAGATATAGGGGACAGAAAATGCCTCGCTGGCAAGATTCCGTTCACGAATTTTAAGCATCTAACGGACGGTACGCTTGTGCCAGCCAGCCCCGATATATTCTATGGTGCGCGTCCGGAACAGCTCCACCCACAAATACGCAAAGCATTGAGCGGTCGTGTTGTCCCTTCTACTCAGAATGATCTCCCTGTCGCGCCGAATTTTTTCGTGGAAGTAAAAGGGAAGGACGGGTCTGCAGCTGTAGCTCAACGACAGCTATTTTACGATATGGCTCTTGGAGAAAGAGGCCAACAGGCTCTTCGATCGCGCAATCCCTTTCACGCTTCATACGATAACAAATCTCGTACTCTCGGCTGCTTGTATCTGGATGGACAATTGAAGATTTTCGCTACCCATGCAATACAACCATCCTCGCCTGTTGGGCCACCAGGATTTGTTGTAACACAGCTTGGAGCATTTGCCTTGACCAACGATGTCGATACCTTTCGGCGAGGAGCCGCAGCATATCGAAATGGTAGGGACTGGACAAAG